GTAAGAGTCACTGATTGGTTATTTTGAACATTTTGAAATGTAAGAGTCACTGATTGGTTATTTTGAACATTTTGAAATGTAAGAGTCACTGATTGGTTATTTTGAACATTTTGAAATGTAAGAGTCACTGATTGGTTATTTTGAACATTTTGAAATGTAAAAGTCACTGATTGGTTATTTTGAAGTTTAAGAGTCATTGATTTTATTTTTAATTAAAAGGCTCTATTTTTAAGAAACAAATGTTCACTATTAAAAAAGGAATACATTATATATCAGACTGGTCTCAGACTTTACTTTACAAATCTTGGAATCATTCAGACTGGTATAATGTTTTAATTATCATCAAAAATCAAAAGGAACGCCTATCTTACACGTAAAATGTATTTGATTATACGCATATTTTATTTGATATTAGTATTTGTTTTGCACGAAGATTCTGAATGTGTAAATTTGTTAGAATGTCATCTCTCTTAAACTGTTTGTTGTTTTTAAAAAATTATTAAATGGTGAACTAATATTGTAATTTTCTTTAAACATGCATAAAATAGCTATTATCATTAACAGTTTTTGTATAGATATATTCACGTACATTGTGAAAGTGTTCATCACACAAATATCATCTTTTTTAAAATTAAGAACTTGTTTGTTTTTTTATAACTGGTAATAAAAAAAAATCCACCATTAAGTTGAATTTTAGAAATATTTGGCCAAAAAAATAAGTGTATGGCAGCAATTATAATAGCAAAATTCAAAACAGAAAATCTTCTTAAAAATAACCTATTCATCTTAATGGTTTTTTTTGTTGATATTTTACAAATGCAAATACTTTAAGTAAAAAACATATATGTGAAAACCATAGCAACATTTTTAAGCCTGTGCTTGGTTGTCATGGTAATGAGGGATGACATTCTTTTCATTTTTATGATTTGTTTTTTATATATTCTCATATGAATTATTAAGTTGATGATTTCTCATGACTTATCGGCCAACGATCTGGCCAGGTTTTGTCCTAGAAGTAGAGATAATCCATTGTTATAATGGAAATGTAATTCACTTACCCCGAATATACATGTAAAAGTAATATTTTGTCTGTCATAATGGAAAATGATTATTTTATAGAAGTGGCAAGGTATTTTTTTTAACAAGGAAAGTAACACTAAATTCATGAACATGACAGAACAGAACATGGTAGAATAAATGTACAAAGAAAATTCAGTTGGAGAATTTTATTTCAATGTTTGAGAAAAAATAAATAACAAAAGAATCACTTTTGATAATATTATGTTTTTTTCTTGAAACTTTGAATTTAAATCAATGCAAGTGCTGGTTAAGCAAATAAATATATTAATTTAAATTTAATGATTTATCATATTTTTTTTCTGAACAGCTGTTCTCTTGAGTTATTGCATACTTTGTAAAAATCATATGCGTTTTTGTCAATTTGTTTGTTTATTAAATTAGGAAATTTTGTTCTCCACTAGCAATGATTTATCTATAGTTTTAGGGCAAACAATGTTAAATCTTGGAGCTTTTATTATTATTCTGGACACTTTGTTGTATTTGCAGTCTGTATGTATGCTGCCCAAAACTGGATCATACATTTATGTGGAAATAAAATTATCTCGAGTAAATCTCTTATTGTCTTCTTTAAAAGTGCCATATATCCTGTCTATAAATTATAATAAAGTAAATGCTAGGATATTATGCCTCAAAAAAATTTTGGCAGACATATTGTTTTTGCCTTCACCGTCTGTCTGTCGGAATCAAGCTTGTCTAGTTTTCACAGGTAGAACCCATGAGGGATTTCAACCAAACTTCACAGGATCAATCAGTACCAACCCTAGTTGTGCAAATTGCCAGCATGTTCCGCTTTGCTGCACAAAATGGCCACCGGAGCTAAAAAATGAAATTTTGGGTCTTCAATGAAATTTCACAGTGGAAATGAAATACTACTAGCTTAAATTTTCAATAAATGTTATATATTTAACATGAACTCCATTAAATGCGTTTTATCTAAATTTATCTAAAATTTACAATTGATCTAAAACTCGAGCTGAAATCAAATTAAACAAAGTAAACACAATAAATCATGTGGAAATATCAAGACTTTTGTCATCTAAGATGCTCCAAATATTGATATATGGTTGTATATCTTACAAGGGGTTGTTGATAAACATTTCATTTCAGTGTTGTATGATTTTTTTAATCCTTCGGGACCACTGTTTGCTTCACTTTTAGTGTTGAAGATTGAATCCTTGTTCACTTGGTGTAAGGTCATGAGAAATGTTGCAATGTCCATTACATCTCATAAACACTCCTCAAACACTCATGAAATGTACTGTTCCGAATTAAAAGTATGGAAAATCTATCAAAGTATGTGTCCAAGTGATGACCTACACTCAAATAGCTGGATACCTTTTCCATATGAAAGACCTCAAAATCCCTTTCAAGATTCGACCCCCACAGAGGTGTGGGGCAAGTGGTTTGAGATTTGGTGTCCTTGACCACTTATCTGCTAATACCTCTATCTTGGTGATAAAAAAAAAGAGTAAAAGAATTCAGTAAAAATCTCGTTTTTCATATTTAATCATAATAAAACAGCTATCAATATTTTTTCTATTTTCAGTACAAGTTTACAATTTCATGCTCCCTTAATAAACATTGAGAGCTCTACATATGGAGTAAAAAAGGTATAACAAAAATATAACTATCGAATGTTTTCTTAGAGTGACTAGGTTCACTAATTTTCTAACCACTGTTATATACATGTATATATCACATCAAATTTCATGCACTTTGCATAGAATATTTTTATGTTAATATATTACACTTACAAGTACAAACGACTTAATATCACACTTATATTTGGTACAAAAAGGTCAACATATATTATAATCTTCATTCAGCAAAGTACAACAAACATTCTAGAATACTGTACTATTATTTCTGAATAAGAGTACATTTTTGTACAACAGTTGTAATAACAAAGTCTATTAGCACAATGATGTTTACCTGTTCCAAGTTTAAAGGCCCATTATGCCTCAAAAAAAGTTTTTATTTTTCAAAAAGCTTTTAAACTTTGGTCTAAGTTAATAATGAACAAACAGTTACTCATTGGGCAATTCCCTTAACTATCTCTTCTGTTGCTTCTTGACAATAAGTACATTTATTGTGATTCACTATTTTGTATGGAAGTCAAAATACTACTTTGTTTGTATTTTGCTACTTTTATGACAACTATTTTTTTCATTTTAGTGCTACTTTCTTGAGGTGACAAGCATCTAACCATTATTCAACATTATAAAACTCTATTTGCTCTTTTTAAAGAAGTAATATTGTATTTGTTTCCGAGACATAATGAACCTTTAACTATGTTTTTACAAACATATCATGTTCACTCTAAGAATATATATACACTTTATTGCCCTATGTTTACACAAACATTTCATGTTCACTTCTTAAATATAAACATTTAAAAATCCTTTAACTAATCATAATTTCATGTTTACATCATCTCCACTCTATGTTTAAACATACAAAAAATATAAACTTTATACAACCAATTTCATGTACATACAAACACCTCCTCATGTTTATACAAACGCTTCCTAAATCATTACATGTTCACTTCATGGAATTATTACATGTTCACTTTATGGAATTATTACATGTTCACTTTATGGAATCATTACATGTTCACTATATGGAATCATTACATGTTCACTTTATGGAATTATTACAAGTTCACTTTATGGAATTATTACATGTTCACTTTATGGAATTATTACAAGTTCACTTTATGGAATCATTACATGTTCACTATATGGAATCATTACATGTTCACTTTATGGAATTATTACAAGTTCACTTTATGGAATTATTACATGTTCACTTTATGAAATCATTACATGTTAACTTTATGGAATTATTACATGTTCACTTTATTGAATTATTACAAGTTCACTTTATGGAATTATTTCATGTTCACTTTATAAAATCATTACATGTTCACTTCATGGAATCATTACATGTTCACTTTATGGAATCATTACATGTTCACTTTATGGAATCATTACATGTTCACTTTATGGAATCATTACATGTTCACTTTATGGAATTATTACATGTTCACTTTATGGAATTATTACATGTTCATTTTATGAAATCATTACATGTTCACTTTATGGAATTATTACATGTTCATTTTATTGAATTATTACAAGTTCACTTTATGGAATTATTTCATGTTCACTTTATAAAATCATTACATGTTCACTTTATGGAATTATTACATGTTCACTTGATTGAATTATTACAAGTTCACTTTATGGAATTATTTCATGTTCACTTCATGTTATTATTTCCAAGTTTACTATATGTGATTTTATTGTCATATCTGCTTCTACAACATTTTTACAACTATTTCTAGTCTTGCATTTTAGAAAACCTTGGCGGAGTGCCCTTAACTGGTGCTCTAAATCCCTTGAAACGATACAGTATTCATTATATGTCCATATAAAATAATTTATGTTATACAAATATAGAGATTCCAGTACAGCAGGGCTTCCCGTACCCACAAACAAAATAAAAGAAAACAAAAAAATTATATATCAAAACTACAGATCACAGTTTCATTATGGACAACTTTGTTCATATCTTGCAACTTAACCTTTAACTTGCCAAGCTAAATTAATTAGCTTCTGGCACCAACCTGAACATCCATACTGTTTGACCAGCCTCTTTTCTATTACAAAAGTCAAAAATTGGTCCTTTATACTGGAGTTCCTTTCAACTTCAAATGGACTGTTACAAATTCTAGCCAGAGCAAATCTATTTTACAAACTCATTAGGTTATTAGTTAATATCAGTGAACATAATTTTACAAATGTTCTCAAAAAAATTGTTGAACATATCATGTTCACATTAAACACGTAAAAAAATATAATGTTCACAATAAAGGCCTTACAGATATCATGTTCACAATTAAGGCGTCGTTTAACATATCATGTTCACAATCAAGGTGTTAATGTTCATATGATAGACTTGTATTTGCATGCAAACATAATCCATGTGGCGCAAGCTGATTCAGGATATGGATAGACTCGAACCCGTACACCCAACCTTACATGATCTCCTCTACAATGAATAATTTCTTCACACACTGGAGATCTGAAAACATAATCAAACATATATTACTGAGAAATACATGTACAAGAAAATGTATTACTGATATAAGGTGATTTTGTATTTTTGCAAAATTGTTGAATTATTTATAGAATCAAGTCAAGGGAAGGAGTGCCTGTGGCTGAGTGGGTAAGGTCATTGACTGGGTGGAAAGTGTACTGAAAGGATATCCCCAAAAAAAACAAAACAAGAGGGCCATGATGGCCCTAAGGTCGCTCACCTGTATATAGGCCCCCAACCCGCACCCCCCCCCCCCCCCCCAAACGTTGCAGGGCCAATTTAACCCAAGGGCTTTTTATTTGCACAAACTCGGTAGACATCCATAAGAAAATGTTTCATGCTAAACATCTAAGCTCTAGCTCATTGGACTTTATTGAAAGAAGATTTTTTTTGTAAGTTTTTACTATACACATATAGTTAAAAACAATGATACCCCTGGGGCCGGGCAGTTTTGACCCCAGGGCTTTTATTTGAACAAACTTTGTAGACACTTACTAGAAGATGTTTCATGCTTAATATCTAAACTCTAGCTATTTGGGTTTTTTCAAAGAAGATTTTTTAAGTTTTTGCTAGACACATATAAGGAAAATCAATGACCCCCGGGGCGGTGCCAATTTTGACCCCAGGGCTTTTATTTGATCAAACTTGGTAGACACCTATTAGAACATGTTAGATGCCAAAAATCTTAGCCATAGCTCTTTGAGTTCTTTAAAAGAAGATTTTTTAAGTTTTTACTATATGCATATAGGGAAAATCAATGATCCCCCGGGGAGGGGCCAATTTTGACCCCAGGGCTTTTATTTGAACAAAATTGGAAGACACTTATTAGAACATGTTTGATGCTCAATATCTTAGCCATAGCTCTTTGAGTTCTTTAAAAGAAGATTTTTTTAAGTTTTTACTATATGCATATAGGGAAAATCAATGACCCCCCGGGGCGGGGCCAATTTTGACCCCCAGGGCTTTTATTTGAACAAACTTGGTTGACATCCATTAGAACATGTTGCATGCTAAAAATCTTAGCTCTAGCTCTTTTGGTTTTTTAAAAGAAGATTTCTTAAGTTTTTACTATATGCATATAGGGAAAATCAATGACCCCCCGGGGCTGCGCCAATTTTGACCCCTGGGCTTTTATTTGAACAAACTTAGTAGACACCTATTAGAACATGTTTCATGCTAAAAATCTTAGCTCTAGCTCTTTTGGTTCTTTAAAAGAAGATTTCTTAAGTTTTTACTATATGCATATAGGGAAAATCAATGACCCCCTGGGGTGGGGTCAATTTTGACCCCAGGGCTTTTATTTGAACAAACTTGGTAGACACTTATTGGAACATGTTTCATGCTAAATATCTTAGCTTTAACTCTTTTGGTTCTTTAAAAGCAGATTTTTTAAGATTTTACTATATGCATATAGGGAAAATCAATGACCCCCTTGGGGCGGGCCAATTTTGGCCCCAGGGCTTTTATTTGTCAAACTTGGTAGACACCTATTAGAACATGTTTGATGCTAAATATCTTAGCCATAGCTCTTTGAGTTCTTTAAAAGAAGATTTTTTAAGTTTTTACTATATGCATATAGGGAAAATCAATGACCCCCCCGGGGAGGGGCCAATTTTTACCCCAGGTCTTTTATTTGAACAAACTTGTTAGACACTTATTAGAAAATGTTGCATGCTAAAAATCTTAGCTCTAGCTCTTTTGGTTTTTTAAAAGAAGATTTTTTAAGTTTTTACAATATGCATATAGGGAAAATCAATGAACCCCCGGGGTGGGGCCAATTTTGACCCCAGGGCATTTATTTTAATAAACTTGGTAGACACTTATTAGAACATGTTTGATGCTAAATATCTTAGCCATAGCTCTTATGGTTTTTTAAAAGAAGATATTTAAAGTTTTTTCTTTCGGTTGCCATGGCAACCAGAGTTCTGCATGGAATTAAATTCTTTGAACAATTTTTAAAGGTGACTACCAAAGGAACATTCCTGTGAAGTTTGGATGAAATTGGCTTAGTGGTTTATGAGGAGATGTCATTTAAAGTAAAAGTTTACGGACGAAGGATTGACGGACGGACACTGGATGAAAAGCAATCACAAAAGCTCACCCTGTCACTTTGTGACAGGTGAGCTAAAAATAACACCCCCCCCCCCCCCTGGATGTTTTAATTCATGAAATCTGAAATGAATAAATTATTAAGTAAGTAAATCCTGGCACAACAAGAATACAATGACAAGATTCTGCTATCTGATGATAACTTGGGGAAACATAACCTTTCTGTTTGATATCTTATACTTAAAAATAATTAACTATATCCTGTAAAAGTCTATTACCTTGAGGTAAGAACTGATTAAGTTAATGAGAATTATGTTCATTTAGAAACAAGAACTAGTTTGATCAACACAAATGCCCCGGTTAAATGACTCCATATCCCTATTCGGTGATGCAGACAGACAGTTCAATTACTATATGCCCAGGGAAATTAAAATAGACTGCTGATATGTTTCTCTATTTTGAACTGTTTAAGCTCTATCTCTTAACCTGATAATTTTTTATGATGGATTTACCCCTTCTTTGAAATGACCCCCCCCCCCCCTTGAAGATGTTCCTCTTTGCTTCTGCTTTGAATTTGGAACAGTCCATTAAAAGATTATGGGATTTCAGTATCAAAATACAGATGTACAAAAAGATTGAGCTTTAAACAGTATAGAGCCTGGTCAGACTGAAGGAATGTGAGGCTAGCCGGACTCTATACTGGTTGCAAAGGCTTGTCACTTTCTGTTATAGCAGGTTAAGGGTTAGAGGTAAGAGGCTATGTCACAAATATAATCAGGCTAGCCTGAACAACTGAGCATTTTGAGTGGACTAAATTGAGCCATGTCACGACAAAACCAACATAATGGATTTGCGACCAGCATGGATCCAGACCAGCCTGCACGTCCGCATTCTTTTTAAAAGCTGTTTAGTATTAGAATTTCAATAATGAAATGTTGAAAATTCAAAGCAAAGCAAGTCCACAACTGTCAAAACCTCAACAAAAGTTCAACAAATGGATAAAATCATGATAACTTAGAAACTGATGGAAAATTGTCTGCAAAAAATTAATTCAGATTAAATGTCAATAGACCTGTATCATTTTTGTCTGGACAAAATGTATTTAGTATCAGACATATTCACAATTTCTAATTATATACATAAAAGATGGTATAAAAGATAAAATTACAAGTCAGAAATATTCACTTCCCATTAAGACACATTAGAAAATTAGGATACAGAAAAACCTATGCTTAAGGTCACCTCTGAATAAAACTATATAATTCAAACAATTAATGCATAATGGTTGTAACGGCAATTCTCATTGGACAAATCTAATGTTTATATATAATCTGTAAACACAGCTGCTGAAAAGTTATAAATTACTTTGTATCCAAAATAAATCTACTTTATTTTTTTCATTTGGAAATTGTTTATATTGGATGTAAGATCAAAATAGATTTCACATGGATGTAAGATCAAATAGATTTCACAAACAGAACACCATGTGCAATATTTTTATAAATGGCATAGTCACAAGTAAAAATACAACTGCTTGTGTTGGTATATGAAATAAATTTTGATTTTACATGCAAAAGAAACAAAAGGACTTTCTTAAAGCTAGCTCAATAGCTTACTCACATGAGGGTCCAAAATCCATGATGAAATTCAAACCCACAGCTGTGAGGGGCAAGTGATTACATGTAAACATCCTTTACCCATGGAAGCCCCTAATTATAATAATTCACTAATTTATTGAAAACAACAGAACATCAAGTTCCTGTGAGGCCCACATGGAAGATTGGGAAACCGAATGTGTTTGCCTCATTAAATAAAGTTGTTACTAACTTACCTGTTTCCAAATTGTGAATTATGAGTAAATTTTCCATCTGAATACCTTTCTTTACAAATCTATTATTCTATCCTACTTTTTTGGACGATTTAGGTGAGGTGAAGGAAAAGGGCACATAACAGAAACAGGGAAGATTTATTTTTTCCCCTTACCTAAGACAGGTGGCAAAAGCTTTGCGAGCATTTCTGTGTGAGAACTGGATAGGATATCCCTTAAATGTATGACCATCTGGTACTGCGTGCTTTATTGAGTCTTGAAATTCCTCGTTTCCTGGAGTCAAACCTGCACATAAAGAAAAAAACAAACTTTTTACACATGAAGCTTGTACAAGAGTTTATGTACATTCTGTTTCTTTATAAATAAAATAATACCTGTCCACGGACAGCATGTTCCACTTTTCAGTTAAACAAAAAGCAAAATAGAAGAAAGGGCATAATTTTAGGTTATTCTGCTCTTCTGAAATGGCATCCTTTTATGACAAGAAACATGTATACCAAGTTTGAAGTGAACTACTTTCATATTTTCTGAGAAAATGAACCTTAACACAAAGGTTTACCAAAGTCCACATGAGGGTTATAACAATATTTCATCCTAATTACTTTCTCTGAAAAGTTGAGCAAAAAATAACATTTATAATCAATATGCCTGATTCAATAATAACCCATGGTTCAATTATAAACTATGACTCAATTGAAAATTTTAGATAAAAATTTGATTACAACAGCACTGTACAGTATGTGGTATTAATGTTTGTCTGTTTAAAAACAAATTTTCATAAATATTCTACGTTAAAAAGGGGCATAACTCCTAAAAAATATTATTTTAAGGATAATGAGCATTGAACAACTGTTATTAAGAGTTCCATGTTTCATGTTAAAATAAACCTACTTATTAATTGGTAATTTGTCCAAAATTCTTGTTTAAAAGAAATTTTACTCCAAAAAGATTTCTTTCAGAATTATGTCCCTTGTTTTAAACCTGATCTTCATCATACATAATTATTCCAAGTTTCCTGTTGATACAATTCATAATTTTAAAATTTAACTTCACAGGCAATTTTAACAAAAAAGAAAAATGTAATATGTATAAAGAGTGAGAACCAACCTGTAGTTCTTTCAGTCTCATATGCAGCTAGAGATGGTGTGAGGAGATAACTAAGCTGGTCATCCCACATTGTTGTTAGTCCCATGTCCTGCCATACAAACAAATATAAACATAAACATGTATTTGTTACAATAATATAATAACAATATGTCACAGTATGAGAAAAATGTGCAGCCTGACCGGGACTCAAACCCTGGACCCTCGGAATACCATATCGCAGGTCTAGTGATCGAGCTTTCTGAGCTCTTACACATCTTCTCCCCTAAATAGTGAACAGTTCTGAACTGTGACAAATAATTCCAAAGCATCATATCATCCTGTAGCCTACTGGCGGCAAATAATTCTATTAATGTGAACAATGCAGACCAAGATCAGCCAGTATATCTGTGCTGCCTGATCATGTCTGCATTGTTTGCTATTCACTCGGTGTATATTATATTGAAAATTTACCTCTAATTGATGAATGATCTTGACCAGATTGAATGAAAGACAAGTCCGTTTATGACAAGTACAGCCTCTAGAGAGCACTTATATAGTACATTTATCTCTTAATGGCAACAGTTCCAGTTCCATTTTTTTTGCAGAATAAGAATTTACAATTTGATTAAACCTCTCAGCATCAACAAAAAACTTTCGTTCTAACTGGTGTTGCTCTCCAGAGGTTTAGTTTATACAAATTTATGTTCATTTCATTGTGTTGGAGGCTATAACCTTATTAAAACACACTTGAATCCGTTCCTTGAAGCAATAAATGTAAAGGTTTTTGCTCAAGTAAAAACAACAGCTTGCCCATGACCCACACAGTCAGCAACTAGATAACTAGTACGACACGATTACCACACAGCCACGCCATCATTTTCAGAGGTTGAACTGTATTTAGCATGGTAAGGGTTAAAGAGAATAAGTAAGATAAATTTTCATTTACCCTTCTATGTTCTGTAACAAGTATTCTAAGTTGTTGTTCTAAATCATTACTGGCCAAGGAGGGATCTATTGATGGGGCACACAGTGGGGGAAACTGGGGCCATAATGGGGTACTGGACGACCCGCAAACAGACATGATAGCATCATGTGACATGGACTTCCAGCGTGCTTCGTCACGTAGGTGAAATTGGCAAACTGCTACATTATCTGTTGGCTGAAAATTAATGTAAAGAAACATATCATATTCATCTATACTAGGCAACCATGAACAATTCTTGAAATGTCAGACTTAAAGCTATAAAGAAAACATACAAGTTTGCTTTACTGGAATTATAACTTGTTCTTTCAAATTTAGATTACAGCTTATACACGAGCAATGGCCTTTTAGTGACAATACAGCTAAATTTTGTCTCAAAATTATCTGAAAGTGGTGTTTAATTGGAAAAAAAAAACAACAATTTTTGTTTTTGAAATACAAAGTGGTGGTAAAGAATTAAGGAAAACACATTTAGTTGCAGAACACTGAAATACTAATAACATAATGTTAAAGTAGCATTTAGTCAAACAATACAACATGCCAAATCTTTAATGTCCTTTTGTAAAATCAATAGTTTTGGAGAAAAACAACACCAAAAGAACATTTCAGTTATATTCAGTAAGTTTATAATGAAACACTTCACTTTTCTGAACTGTACCTGGACTGATGTCATATGTGGTAACATTTGACCATAGTAAGGTTTGCACCCACTATTCAAGCCCCTAAGCCACCACTTCCCTTCCATTTATTACAGTCCTCTAATGATTGCATTTATATAATTTGAAAAGTACAACAAGAATGATTTTGAGAAATAAAATTAAAAGCATTTCTGAGGCATAATGGGCCTTTACTAATGATCAAAATAGTTTACCTGATTATTGGCATAGAATGACTGGTGATTAAACACACAACCTATAGTTTTGTACGGATATTTTGGTCTGTGTTGTTTATCCATTGGTGGTGCATTAGGGTCCAATGGTTCATGTATATATCTGAAAATAGAGATGTAATTTTGTAGGATACAAATGTACATGGAAAACATATATTGTTATATTTATTTATAAATATCTGAAGAAACAGTTATATCCCTTTTCGACTTTTAAGTGAATACCACTTTTAAACAATTTTATCTGTGCATATTTATTTACAAAAGGTGTAAAAAACTTCATAGGTTATTCAAGTTTTTAAGAGAATACATTTTTCAGCCAATGAATAGAAAACCTTAACCAAGTGTAACACCAACATTGATACCAGGGTGTGTAGAATAATGCCACCATTCTTAAAAGTAAAGCTAACAATAATGTTTCCACAGCAACATCAGCCAGACTCTACCATTATTACAGATATAATTCCCCGATGAGACATACTGACTTACCTATGACCATTTAGACTCTCCCAGAATGTAACTAGCCCATCAACACTAATGGTCATCACCCAGGCATGGACGGCTCCCTTTGCTTTGGTCCCAACACAAACATAGGCGTCAAGTCCGAAACCTAGCAGCAGACTGCACAACAGGGTAGCATGATCCTCACAATCCTGTAGTTATAAACAAGAGGGCCATGATGGCCCTGAGGTCGCTCACCTGTATATAGCCCATTCCCCCCCCCCCCCACCCATAAGAAGATGTTTCATGCTAAACGTCTAGCTCATTGGGCTTTTTAAAAGAAGATTTTTTAAAGTTTTTACTATGTGCATAAATTATAGGGAAAATCAACGACCTCCTGGGGTGGGGCCAATTTTGACCCCAAGGCTTTTATTTGAACAAACTTGGTAGACACCCATAAGAAGATGTTTCATGCTAATTATCTAAGCTCTAGCTCATTGGGCTTTTTAAAAGAAGATTTTTTAAGATTTTACTATACACATATAGTTAAAAACAATGACACCCCTGGGGCAGGGCCAGTTTTGACCCCAGGGCTTTTATTTGAACAAACTTTGTAGACACTTACTAGAAGATGTTTCATGCTTAATATCTTAACTCTAGGTATTTGGGTTATTTCAAAGAAGATTTTTAAGTTTTTGCTATACACATATCAGGAAAATCAATGACCCCTGGGGCGGGGCCAATTTTGACCCCAGGTCTTTTATTTGAACAAACTTTGTAGACACTCACTAGAAGATGTTTCATGCTTAATATCTTAACTCTAGCTATTTGGGTTTTTTCAAAAAAGATTTTTTAAGTTTTTGCTATACACATATAAGGAAAATCAATGACCTCCGGGGCGGGGCCAGTTTTGACCCCAGGGCTTTTATTTGAACAAACTTGGTAGACACCTATTAGAACATGTTTGATGCTAAATATCTTAGCTCTAGCTCTATGAGTTCTTTAAGAGTAGATTTTTTAAATTTTTACTATATGCATAAAGGGAAAATCAATGACCCCCTGGGGCGGGGCCAATTTTGACCCCAGGGCTTTTATTTGAACAAACTTGGTAGACACTCATTAGAACATGTTTCATGCTAAATATCTTAGCTGTAGCTGTTTGGGTTTTTTAAAAGAAGATTTTTTAAGTTTTTACTATATGCATATAGGGAAAATCAATGACCCCCTGGGTTGGGGCCAATTTTGACCCCAGAGCTTTTATTTGAACAAACTTGGTAGACACTCACTAGAAGATGTTTCATGCCAAATATCTAAGCTCTAGCTCTTAGGGTTATTTTAAAAGAAGATATTTAAAGTTTTATCTTTCGGTTGCCATGGCAACCAGAGTTCTGCATGGAATCAAAATTCTTTGAACAATTTTTAAAGGTGACCACCAAAGGAACATTCCTGTGAAGTTTGGATGAAATTGGCCAAGTGGTTTATGAGGAGATGTCATTTAAAGTAAAAGTTTACGGACGACGGCCGGACGACGGACGGATGCCGGACGAAAAGCGATCACAAAAGCTCACCCTGTCACTTTGTGACAGGTGAGCTAAAAATAGACCACAATGATGTTGACTTTATAGTGGTGGAAAAAATGTAGTACATGAAGGCTTAATATTCCTGTGGATAGATTGGTAGGAAAAATGTCTAATCAAAATTATTATCATAGGAAATATTTCTGATCAACATTATTATGCAAATTTTATTTATATCCACATAAAAATTTGGAGAGGACCGAGTAGATGAAATTTTACTGACGATCCAACCTATAAAAATACAAATATCCAAATACTAAACATATTAGAACAAAAATGCATGAATTATTTTATAACACTTTCCAATTAACGTGAAAGTTTTAAAACTAAACATTTTAACCCCAAGAGATAACCACCAATGACTCTTTATATATGCAAGATCTAAACACTACAGTATAGAACTTACAAGTCTCTCTCGCATACACTTAACTTAACTTTATGAAAAACTGTTCAAACAAGTGTGTTTTTTAATTTGTCCTTCAAATGTTGGACTTCATTTGTTAATATCACATCCATGCATTTTACAATCTTACACTATCACTTTTTCAAACATTTATTACCGATGGCTGTGCAACCTTAAATTGTTATTAATTGATATGTTTTCATAATTATTCCCAAAGGTATGTATTCAATGATAATTCATATTCAGCTTATGGTAAGGATATAAATTAATTTCCATATAATCTAGATATCAATTCACTCTAGGGAGTAAAATGTAAGATCACTTAGACATCAATTCACTCTGGGGAGTAAAATGAAACATTCCCCATTCAATTATTGATATTTCTGAGATATTATAATAATCATCACTGATATAGATATTATATAAACTAAACAAATCAGATTTAAACTCAGTAAAAAAGCTAATGGATATTTTATTGGCGGAATAAATAATGACATTATAAATTAAAATTAATTGAGGTAACACATTCTGAATTTAAAGGAACTCCACAGTGTTTTATAACACATAACAGGACTGGAAATATCTTTTTTGTGTTTTTTTTAACATCTGATGTAGGTCCAGACCAATAATATGTTTCAACTTCACACAAAGTAGATGTGTTATGTTAAAAACTCTACACACTATGTATTGGTGGTCACAATATGAATATATAGTGTCATTAAAAAACTGGCAGTTTTTTTAAGTATCAACTTTTTTGACTGCATGAGGGGAAAGAAGTTTTCCATACAAAGTTTATTCATTCTTTAATTCAAATTAGATATACTCACTAAGAATTTGATAGGTTTCAATAAATTTCAGTGATTAAAATATTTTACTCATGGATGAGCATAGTATATCTTTAAAAAGTTTTCGAGAAATAAAAATAAAAGCATTTCTTAGGCATAATGGGCCTTTAACTGACTGATTCACAATTAATCAGGGCATTAATACCAAAACTGATACTGACAGACTGATATATTGCCAACAAACTACATGTATATACATATATTTTTACCCCCTTATTTCTACACAGGAAGGCATGCATAGTTGTCCACTGCTCCGTACGGCCGCCACCTCCGAGCGTTGGCGTTCTTTCCTGATGTGTTAAACTAACAAACCTCGCAGCCTCTCTAGCAGTATCCAGAAGTCTTCCAGCTCTAAGTGGTTTTACAAATGAGCAAACTGGACGGTTGTTTCCATTTTCATCCTGTATATTACATATTTTACTTACAACATACATGCATCAAGTTTCAATAAAAATACTTACAGGAAATACAAAGGAAACAGCAGATTAGCAATTAAACAATACTGATGATAAAATAACATTCAAACTTTTTTTGTAGAACACTATTTTTGGAGAAGTTTTACTTTTAAAACAGTTTTTTTCCCCAGTAAATTTTGATTTGTTGAATAGCATAGCCATTATAGCAGAGTACACTACATTAAAAATCTGGGTTATGTATATTCTAGCCATTTTATTTTTATTAGGTTGGGTTTAACATTTCACCAACATCTTATAGGTCATATGGTGACTTTCCAGCTTTACTGGCTGAGGAAGATCTCAGAATCATTGATATTTGTCAGCTATTTGGATAGCTTTCTCACATGAAGAAACCTAAAGACACTACTGCAGCTTGAACCTACAGAGGTGAGAGGCAAGTGGTTAAAAGTCAACGACCTTAACCACCCAGCCACACATTACCGTTTGCCATTTTGGTATAATACACTGATTTGAAAATTTAGGTTATGCACAGTCTTGTTCAAATCAATCTGGATTGTGTACTAACAACTTTGACTTGAAAGTAGTTAAGAAAAGCATCATATTAGTAATATACATATATACACATGTTGTTTTTTTCGCTCTCTTTTTTTTTCATGATTTTAAACACCAAAATTGATTTAAATCATATCATGTTGAAGTAATACAACATTAAGCAAAGAAAAAAACAAAGCATCTGATTGGATGATGCGAGCACATACTTGAAATTGACCAATAGTTGAGTTTCATTATAAGGTTAGTTGGTCATTATCTATTGTCAGTTTTTAATCATTTGAGACCATCTGATACTAATGACAGTCTTAAAGGGAAGGGATATAAAAGTGTAGAACTGATTTTCCTACCACTGATAAGTAGTTCAACTGGCTGACGGTCAAACAACTGATGAGCATGAAAAACTTTCTTTAAATAATCTACCTGAGCAAATATCTTCACCAATCTCTCTTTGTGTATTTCCCTGATTGTGAGGTACTCTTTCCACCATTGTTTGGCATATACAAGAAATAGGCGCTCTTGTTCCGCGTGTCTGCCCCGTTCAAGCTGAATCTGAGCAGTTATCACCTCATTACTCAATGCTTGCTTTGTCTTTGGAAACAATTCCACCTGTATATCTATTACACCAGCGGATACTTTACTCTCAGATCCTGAAATCAGCAGTAATTCATTTACCTTCTTTTTAAGAACATATGCCTTTAAAATTAGAAAAAATTTGAGTTACAACCGTAAGAAAATTGGGGAAAAAAACCTACAAATAGCTGAATTTTAATTACTTATATAAACCAAAATATCTGTGCGTCAAAGTGTTCTGTGCTTAATGAAATACAAAAGTATTACAATGGAGGTTTTTTTTTTAATATTGTTAAGAAGTTCACACAGACACTGTATAGATTATATGGCAGCTTCCAATAAACTTTTTTCTGGTGAAGAAAAACCCAAGTTGGGTAATCCTTTATGTATCATTTCAGACATAATGAGACATTTTAGTGGTAACACCAATCTCTGTAAAATGATTGAAAAGCTTCCTCACATGAAGGAATTCCAGGATTTGATTGAAGAGATAAAGAGGCATTATCCCTGTTTCTCCTATTCTCGGGGTTTCTCGTATTCTCGTGGAATCATTAAAACGGATGGAAGCGATGCTCGCGACTTCCGTCGATATCCGAAAACATGTCTATTTAGCAGAGCATTTCATCTCCATTAAAAAATAAAAGAAATGCGGCAACAACAGATAAAAAAACAAAAAAAACTGTGGAAATGATCGTAAAATCCAGAAAATTTAATTAAATTTATCAATTTCCCCCCAAAAATCATCAGTTTTCTAGTTTTTTCCATGTTGCAGAAACCTGTAGCGGGTCTCTGACGCAAGACGCTTCAAATGACGGTCTCACACTACTATTTATACAATACAGCTCAAAATATTTGTTCCACGAATAGATTATATAAAAAAGATATGACCTCCAATTAAAACCAATAATGAAACATTGTTTGTCCTAAACACATTTCATTTTTGACAACTGCAACGGAAAACAGTAGTATTCATTGTTAAATGCTCATATAACTAATAAATAACTAATAAATAAACGTAAGTTTAATTTATAAGAGAGATTATGTAAATAACAACACTAAATGGAGTTCAAACTATTTTTGGAACAATCAAAATCATTTGGTACCATTGAGGCGTCAATATGATCCTTAAAGTTTGATATGGCCTGCCAAGCTGTTATTAAAACACACTAAGATTACAGATTTAGGCCATTTAACACTTAATTAGGTGTGGCACTAATGATTTGAACTGGTATGTAGAATAAAATCATTACATAGCGACCAGCCTTAACAACCAATCAAATTCCACGAGAATACGAGAAAGCACCTGCTTCACATAGAGGGTGAAGGTCAGTATATACAAGCAGAAATATCTTTAGTTTTGCTGACAGTTACGATCTTTCTTTCTTTGTATTTTGTTAATAAGGTATTTCTCTGTGTATCAGGCTAAAAATACTGTAACAGAATGTTTAATAAATATTATGCAACCAAGATTAGTCCTTAACCCCCGAATAATACGAGAAAACAGGATAGATTCAAAGTTGGCAACCTTAACAACTTCACCAAAAGGCCCCCGAGCAAGCTTTAATTTTGTTCATAACATCAAATATGAATTTAAAACTTTAAATATCTACTCATACCTGTGCCTTTAAGTTCCAGATATGTTGTAAGCCTACTAGAGGAAGACGTAAGGACTGGTCTCCATTCCAGAAAATGTGATGAGACAAGAGTTGTGTCCCCTGATGCGTCTGTTTTTATCAGCACCACATGGATAGGGTCAGAGATTGACAGCATTGTTGTTGCGTCAGCCATTTTACCAGCATCACCTACATTAGCAATACAAAATATTTAAGTCACCAAAATTTTCCTCCGAGATTAAAATATCTGCATTTTAGGTCAAAATCATGTATGAACAAGACACGATATTACTAAAGTTCTGATCTTTTTATGTTTAAATGTAGATCTGACAGTGACCAATAATAGTTTACCTTCTTGTGATCTTTCAATCAGCCAATCAGTGGCCACTTTATATGAAAGTGGATTTGTTTTTTTTTTACTGTTGAGGAAACCAGAAAAGTGTACGTGACTTTCAGGATATCAAGATATAACAGAAAAACAAAAATGGTGAGGCGAACAATTTTATGATTAATTAGCAAGAAGATTCAATGCTTACATACCAAAAAAGATTAAATGTTTTGCAGTATTACAATTATATTCCAAATATATTCTTTATTTTTTTTTTTTTTTCGCAAAATTGATGACATGCCTGATTTCATGGATGATGTAAAAGAATTCACTGTAAGGTTTGCTAAAAATAGTCTCATCAGAAAATCCAAATTGGCTAGAAGGTGAAAATGAGTTAATGGTGATCAAATCTACCTGTAAACATATGAAGATCTGAACTTAAGTCAGAATGGACCAAGGTTTTCAATAATTAACCATTACCTAGCTTAATTTTTTTATCAAAATGCTGCTTTGATATTTTAACTAAAGTTATCATATCGAACATCCCATTTTTCAAAGTTATTCCAGGTATTCATAGTTATAGGCTTTAAAAACTTTCCCTTTTGGTCTTCTTATTATGTTTCACAGAAAATCCTGTAACAAAGATAAAAATATTTATCAGAGATTTACCTATTCCATCTTTATGAAGCTCGAGTAGAAAACCCTCGTCTATGTCTGGCTCACAAGCACATGCTACAGGTCGAGACTTGAACCTTTGTCCCCGGAACAGAATATGAAACGTGAAATATGAAGCCACTTGCCCAGGCACACCATTGTTCTCTTCTATATGTTCTAAAAATGCTTTCCCAGCTTTGATATATAGATACAGATAGCGCCTGCTTGGGTCTATATTTGCTGGAACAATATTTGAAAGATGTAACGAATAGCACATCATTTGCATGAAGAAAATAATTCATGCATTATTCATTTACTATCATTCTTTAGGTATTTTAGAAGAAAAATATTACAAAATTTACCAAAGTAGAAAGCTACTGACAAAATTACTCAGGGACAGTTTTACACCAATGAGCCTTGAGGTTAAAAAAATTCAATATGGCGAATGTATTGATATATGCTGATCAATAAATAACTATTTATGCATATAAATATATATTTGTAACAACTAGTATGTATTTTCTTTTTTATGTAAATTACTCTAGCTATTCACTGTTATATAGCTGTTTTAACTTTTCATAAAGATTTATTGTAGAACAAGAGACTTGTTAATTTAGAATTTTCAAAAACAGGATCATTTTCATTCAAAGACAAAGCTCGATTTATGGATTCAAGACACCAACAATTATAACTCAGAAAACAAACTGAAGTAAAAACCTTTGGCAGATCATGCAAGCAAACCTTAAAGGCACATTACGCCCCAGAAACAAATAAATTTTCATTTCTTTGAAAGGGCAAACATGGATTTTATGATGTTTAAATAAAAGTTTTAGAGAAAAATTCCATGCTTGTTACCTGAAAAAGTAGCAATTAATAATAATATGAAATAATTTGTCATAAAAGTAGCAAAAGGTTAACAAGAAAATATTTTGACTTCCAAAATACTAATTCACAATAACTGTACATACTGCCAAAAAGCAAAAGATGTAATTAGCCAATGAGTACCTTTTTAGATTTTATATAAGTATATCAAAATTAAAAGCTTTTGAGAAAAAAAAAATAAAAGCATTTCTGAGGCATAATGGGCCTTTAATCTGGAATTTCTAAGTATTTAAAAGATTATCACTTTATGCTAGAGTATGGGCTATGTAAATGTAGTAATGTACCAATCATTATGATCCCAGAGACATGCCGGACAATTCAAATAAATTCCTGTAATAGTTAACAATCTATGTTGTTGGAAACTTTAAGCAAGTGTTATGCTGACACAAAGAAGAATAGTGTAGCCCAATTATTCTTCAAATCATTAATGTTAAAATATAAAATATTGCATAACTCACTTTTCTTATCACCAACAGAACGTAACATGTTGTCTTTATCTGTAAAATGTGTTGCTGGTCGCTGACCATTGGTACCTCCATCAAACTGTATCTGCTGTAAAATGTTGTCAACAACACCACGCTGTTTTAACCTATTGAACATTTCTTGCTCGCCCATCAAATTACCTTGCCCACCTAAGTCTTCTTGCATTGACTCAGACAACATTTCTCTAATCCTTCTTTGCACATCACCCTGGAAGTAAACAGAAGTCAATGCTTTTTATTTTTTTGTTGTTTTTTTATACAGGAAAAAGGCAGGGCCAATGGAGGGGAAAATTACCATGTTGAAGGAAAAATAGTTAACAATTTACAAAAAAGAGAAAATTGTGCCTTTTTATGTTACATTGCAAAATAACATAAATTGTGTTTACAACTGAGAGATACATTTTGGCCTACCAAGAAAATTGATAAATTAGCCTCTATTATGATTTATTCCATTATTAGAGTCATTTCATAGTACAGTAATTAATCCATCTTGGACCACTGAATCACTGATGTCATTGTCAACAGTTCTGAAAAGACTGTCTTATCAGTTTGCAATGCCATAAATTTGGGATAAAATACAACATGTATATATTTTCTTTGAACCGACTTCTCTTTGATTTCTTCAAAGAGGGTAATTGGGATAAACAATGACATTGTCACAATAATTGAAGTTTATATAAATGAAGTAGTTGAGGTCATAAAGTTTTATTACGTGATCGACAAGTCATAAATATTTTTGGGGGGGTTTAGAAGAGGGGTCTATGTAGTCTTTTAAATATGATGTTGCTTTGAGATATTTTTGCTTCTGGGCTCAAAAACCCTTAGCACATTCCGCAAGAAAATCTGGCTGAACGAAAAATCACATAAGTCAATAAAGTCATTAATTTTGACCTAATTATAAACAAAAGTAAAAAAAAATACCTTTCAACAAAAAAATTAAACTGTCACATCCGAAAAATCATGATTAATTTCATTAATTCTTATTTATATTTATTATACAGCCAATAACCAAATGGCCGTCACAAAGTGCGCGAAATCTTATTGGCTAATTCAAATGCAAGCATTTAAATGAGTCAGATGTTTTAAATGAAATACTTTGAACAAAATATTTGCCCATGCACCGCCAACGTGTACGAATATATTTTTCAGTTAAAAAATTTGGAAACAATCTGTAAAGCGCTTTACTTAACCAGTACGGCTGATAAACAAAAACAGATTGATGTTTGTATTTTATTTTAAATTGATAACTAAATTGTTTGCGAGTTTTTGTTAATGATTGAGCATGATTTTGACAGAAAATTGGATAAACTTTTGAATAAAGCTATAAAGCAAGACAATAGACATTTTTTAATTTTTTTATGATGTTATGTGTTCATGAGCAATAATCATTAGAAGTCGGCTTAACCAACATAAACTATAACAAGTTCATAACGTCTGATATATTTGACTACCGTCTAAAGTGGGGGTATATACTGTGCTCCTCTTAGTTCGCGGTACTTAACGTTTTGAAACAAGAAAGAAAACAAGAGCTGTCGGTAGGACAGCAACGCTCGACTATTCTTAGTGCTTGATAGTAAGAAAAATGCTTGATACAGTTACCTCCTCCTGTTTACAGGTAGGGTCATGATGGTGAACAAGTGTGCAAAGTTTCAAAGCCATATGTCAATGGACTTTGAAAATATTTGAACTATTACAAAAACTTTAACGTAAATTCTAAGTTATAAAAGGGGCATAATTCTGTCAAAATGCTTGATAGAGTTACCTCCTCCTGTCTACAGGTTGGGGTCATGATGGTGAACAAGTGTGCAAAGTTTCAAAGCCATATGTCAATGGACTTTGAAAATATTTGAACTATTACAAAAACTTTAACGTAAATTCTAAGTTATAAAAGGGGCATAATTCTGTCAAAATGCTTGATAGAGTTACCTCCTCCTGTCTACAGGTTGGGGTCATGATGGTGAACAAGTGTGCAACGTTTCAAAGCCATATGTCAATGGACTTTGAAAATATTTGAACTATTACAAAAACTTTAACATAAGTGGTTACGCGGACGCGGACGCCGACGCTCGGGTGACTACAATAGCTCTACTTATTCTTATCGAATAGTCGAGCTAATAGTAATAACAAATGAAACTTAATGGTACAAAAAAATTAATTGTCATAAGCTGTGACAAATAGGCATTTTCTGCTGTATGACAAAAGGAAAGAACAGTATATTCAGTCAAAATCAGTTCAAATGGACCAGACGTAGACCATATGTCAGCCATTAAGTAAACAGTATTTCATCATTTAAATCGCGGTAAATGGTGTTACACTTAAGTTTTTTCATGTTTCAATTGAAATTTCTACATGTCATTTTGCTTAATTTTAAATATTTAAACTATCTATACCTTGTAGCTCAAAATTTAAATTTTCAAAAAACAAGAACATTTAGAAAATAAGGATTGTTTCAGACGTATAGACAAATTTAATGGACTATTGTTGCTTTTTGCAGAAGTTTGTAAAATGTTGTTTGGTTTGATGTAAAAATCTAGAGATTTAAAATAGTTTGCACAAAAACTTTGTTGTTTAGGTGTATGAATAAAATATGTCAATTCTGACCAATTCTAACCCTGGTCTCATGAAAATATGCCATTACCATGAAATAAGTGATGACGCGGAATTAGTGATGTTGACTATACTCGGTTACAGCGGCCCCGGTTACAGACTATAATAGAGGCAAACCTAGCTTAAGGTCTTCAGCGTACCCGTTTATATATATGACATGACGTGAACGCTGAAGATAATCCCGTAGGGAAAGTCCACCAATAATCGTGCCAGGAATCTGACACGCTCGTATTTATTTATCGAACATGCCACGAAGTAAAGTGAAGCATACCTTGTTAAAACGATATATAATCTGTTGATAAGCCAAGGATGGGCAAATAAAAATCTTATTAGGAACATAAACTACCTCATAGTTTCCGACAGGTAAAAATTTCGGCACTTGGCCGCCATATTGTCAAAATGTTTGACCACGTGATTACGAGATTGACCTTTATGAACCCATGTGCCTCCAATATTTTTATAGATTACTTTTTTTTAAGATGTTGAAAAAGGTTATTTACTGACTGTTATATTCAATAAAATCATAATTAAATACTAAAAAAATTATGAAAATAGATAAAAACATTATCTTGAATAAAAATATCGAAATCATGTCAACAAAATGTTTTAAATATAGTACACAACTCTATTCAAATCTGTTCCCGCGAATGACGTCATACGAGGTCTCGCGTGGCACTTGAATGTCATGGCCGACTGTAGTCGGCGAAAATTGATGCTTTACAGTTAAATAGGCAATTTTAATGACGGTATTGATATTTTATTACTTGAATTGGTATAGAACGATATTTAAATAATTGTTTTACCGTAAATGCACAAGAATTGATCGGGTTAAACGTATTTGCAAGTGAAAAACAAGAATAAATCAACTTATGTTATTCTGGTTAGGTTTCGTAACGGGTCTAATCCAAAACTTTAATGCCGCATCTGATGAAAAACAAAAATGTTAAAAAGCGGCTTATAAAGTTTTGGAAGCCAGAACTAAGGCAAACCAATTGTGGAAATGTCATTTTAAACATCATATGCTGTTATAGGTCTAAAACTTGTACAACAAAATGAACATTATGGGAAAAATGCAAGACTTATTTTGAAAATAATTTGTGGGTTACAAAAATAAAACATGACTGAACAAGCATGTTTACTTGCGAAAGTTGATTGTGAATAATCTGTTTCAGCTCAGAAACTTTTTCTGCCGGCAACGCCATGGTGGTTAATTGAAAAATTCAATGACCCGCACAGTTATTGTCCGTAAATATTTCAAGTAAACAGAAATGTAAAAGAAATGACAGCTGAACTTGTTTTGGGATTCGCGGGGGCTTTGAGTGATCTCCCTTTGCGGAGTATGATAAAAGCCAGTGCACGGTGTGAAATACAGGACCTACTAATGAACGGTCTCCGGTCTCTTGTCTGGTCGCCAATTCAAAATTATTATAGACCATAAAAAAGTGGTTGAAATGAGAAAGTATATTTGCTATGTGGTGAAATACAACTATAGTTAAAATCTTTGTTTTTCAAACTGAAAGGCCGTAATTAAGATTAGGTACAAAAATAATTAAATATTTTGTTTGGGAACAATTATAATGTGCTCTAGCTAGGTGGGTGCATCAAATAACTATAAACATTGTTATTCATGCTTAAACCCTCTTTAGGTAGATTTTTATCATGACTTTCACGTCTTTATTCAATCAACATGAACTATATTTATAAACAACCCGACTGAATAGTTTTTTTCTCTTTTTTTATGTAACATATGTAACTTAGATTTCGCTAGCTTATCAGTCATACCACGGATTTATATCCGTGGTCATACAGATACAGCTATTTTTCTAAGTGAGAAATAAGTATATCCAACAAATCTTTATACATGTATCTTTTTAACGAAGGCGTGTCTTTCAATTTCTACAGCATTTCAAGTAAACATTTCAATGAAAAAAGTGGTAGCATGGAATCCAAGAAGAAAATTCTGTTGATGACATGCTATACTTAAATGTTTACGATATATGCATCTAAATATAACCTCAGTCCTTATTAATTTCACTCAATTGCAAATACCACAATTCCTTTAAAAAATCTAATTTATGGGCCAGCCTGAAATAAATATTTTAATAAGTGTTGTTGAGTGGTCTATGGCGACATATACACCTGGGAGTGAAAACGTTACAGATGTTTCATAGTAATTGATTGTGTTAATTAGTCAAACAAACAAATTGAAAGAGGAACAAATTGTAGAATTGCTTAATGTGCTAAGAGTTCTTAAAATTTTTATGAAGGTCAATTTGTAAGATCAAGTAAGGAACAATTTTACTACATGTATAAATTTTAATCAGTTCTCGTTTTTCATTCGTTCAATAACTGAATCAGTTTATAAGATTGACCCACCCATTGGGTGGAGCTTATATTTTTATACGGCTATTGCGCAAACGTTTCATCATTGCAAACCGCAGTTTCAACAAAAGAAAACTTTTGTCAAAAAAGCTAAACACTTCGTTGAAGTTAAAGCGAATTTATAATTTAGTACACAATAAAATTACTTTTAGAATGTGCGCTTGTTTGATCATTTTAATTGTGAATACATATATTGTTTTGTAAGGCAGAAATTGGAGACGAGCATCATTGCTCAAAGTATCATTATGAGGCTCAAACACTTGAGAGAATTATAAAAGCAGAAATCAGTCTTAATGATTTTAAAAAAGATTTTCGTGAGATAAAAAATGGAATAGAAGCAGAAAAGTTAAATGCCGAGGCCATTGCCAAGTTGGAGAAGAACTTGCAGCAGGTGCAACAGTCCTCTCAGGCATTCACGGAAAATGTGATTTTTTTTTTCAAATGTATATTATTTTGGCACTTTTGATTCACTTTCATAAAAGATGCTTTGGATTCATATTTAGTGTTGATAACTTTGTGTTTGATATTATTTTATGAAATACAAGTATATTTCATGTTTCAGATGACCAGAATGATTGAACAGCAGGACACTTTAATCGCAATGTATAGTTCGATGAGACAATTTTGTCAAACAAACGAGACATGCAGTGACGTCGAGAATTCAGAATGTAAATGGATGTCCTGTAAATGTAAACCTGGCCTGAGCTACCACCATGACACGAAAACATGTCTCTCAGGTAATTCTGTTATATAGATTTTTTTTATCAATGGCAGCGTCTGAGAATTTCTATAAAAAATTGCATAGAACTTGTGAATATAATAGTCAATGGAACCAATGACATAGACACATATGATTGTAAGCATTTTACTGTGCACAATTTCATCAAAGACTGCATGATACCTATAGGAGCTCTTGTCTGCCTAGTTTTGTAATGCCAAAAGCCGCGCGCGCGCTTGTGTAGGCGTGTTTTTATTATTTTTTTTTATTAGAAACAGCTTTTATCTAAGAACGAAATCTTAATAAAAATATCTGGTGAATTGTTTGTACGAACACAAACAAAAGTTTTATTCACTCTTGTCGGGCTGTTTAATATATGTTTTCAAAAATTACAATAATGTCTTTACACTTTTCACTTCGGTTTGAAATTGGTATACATGTAGTATAGTTTTTTTTATTGGTTTTTGTCTATTGGATATATTTTATTTTATTTTAATTACATACAATTAAAACATGCACTTCAGTTGAAAACAAATGTAGATGGTCCCTCTTACAAATATTTGAAAAATAAGTAAACATTGCAGGTAATAAATTGATTTATTACGATATATGTAAAAATATACCAGAAGATGCATTTTTACGTGAAGATTCGATCCTAAATACAAAACAAAGATAATATATTTTTTTGATTACAACATTGGTTAATAATTTGTGCCTAGTTTTTAAGCACATATTGTGTCATTATGTTTGGTTCCTCTTAACCTGCCGAATTTCTGCAATGTTCGTGTTCACCTTCCAAGTTTGGGACTGTCCATTACCAATTAAAGAGCCACTTAGGTAAATATCTCAAGTTAGTCAGCCAACAGTGTAGAGCCTGCACTAATTTTCTGGGTGGTCTGGCTCTATACTGGTGACAAAGGCTGATAAATTTGTAACATTAACATTTTATGCAGAATAAAATTATGATATGTTTTGTATAAATCAAATTAATATATTTTTCAGATTGCGGCGATAAAGGCTTCGGGGACACGTATCAAATCGAATATAATACATACTTAAATGGATTTTCAACAAAAACTTTCAAGCGAGTTTCAGCAGAGGAATGTATACAACTTTGCACGGTCAATACGGACTTTGTTTGTAGAACAGCTGAATACTGGAAATCCGAGGGCACGTGCTATTTGTCCTGGGAAACCTTGCGTTCGAACCCTGAAGTCCACAAAGCACATAAAGATTATGTTCTTTACACCAGGGACTGTAAACGTTGATTAACATTTGATAAAAAAAGAGACTAGAACATTTATGCCCGTATCACCAGAACTTTGGATCGACTTTATTTCATTTCCTGATTTTCATCTTCTGTATTACAGTTAATATTCTACTAAAATAATTAAAGCTTCACGTTGATAAAGATTACTTCATTTATGTAATTTTAAAATGATATTATTATACTACTAACATTTCGTTTTAAGTACGTAGACTCAAGACTTTCTATAGATTTCATTTTACCATGACATAATGAGCCTGAACTTTACATATCCAGAACTAAACCAATAGAAAGTCTCTATGCTGAAGCAGGAGAACCTTCCCTTTATCTTCGTAGAAAAAAGCTTTTATTCTTTTCAGCTAGAATATCCTCGAATAGTAAAAATCTTGCTATAAAAGTTATTTTAACCCAAATTACAGAATCCTTTTTTCAACAAATCAACGGAAATTAAACCATTTGGCATTCGTTTAAAATTTTTTTAGAGAAAACTTAAAAAAAAAATACAAAATGTTGAAGAAGATATTTCTCCGTGACTCACAATTCTGTAGAAGTTAATATCAGTGTTTCAAATTTATAAAAACAACATCCAATGATCCTGAAATCTTAAAGGAACATTTTCAATATTCAAAGAAGAACACAAGAAATATGACAATGCCACGACACCAGATTTTCAATTATCACCATTGTAGATAGATATATTGTAGTTGAAATACAAATACAAGCAACAACAAATGTAACTATGTGCAATGTAAATTATAACTAATGAATTTTCTATCTTGAGTAACTGTAACCTTGACCCAAGGGGGCTCAAAACACTTGCTTTACACCAACTTTCATAAAAATATCTTATTCCAAACTCTAGTAATTGACCAGAAACCTATTTTCTACTTTTAGTAAATGACCTGACTGGAAACAGATTTTCTATTTTTAGCAACAATGACCTTGACCATGACTCTACAGGGCACAAAAGCAGGCAGATGAGCTGGCAGGTGTGCAACAAACTAGATAGTTTCCTATTTATAACTAAATAAAGTTTGGTTAAATGTTGTAGTTGTTATAAAAATGATATATTACACTAATAATTACATTTTATGGAAAAAAACTTTTATGGAAAAAAACCAAAGGGCCATAATTAGATAAAATTATCCCGTCACAAAACCCGGACAATATGCGTCAGGGCACTTGATGACAAAGCTTCTGTGAAATTTTGTTCAAAATCCCTTGAGAAATGTAGGAGGAGTCGCGCACAGAAGAAATTGTTTACCTTCGCCAGTCCACCCGTCCGCCTGCCGACATACCTCAACCAAAAAAACATTTTTTTTCTTCGGAAAACCTGGTTAATGAGGATTTTATCTATATTTACACGATGGTTGCAAAGCAGGTGAAATATTGTTACATCTAGAATGAGACTACCTGAGTTACTGTAATTAACCAACTTTGATTTTAAACCTTCCATAAGTAAACGTGCTGCCATAAATTAAATTATCTATCTCTTGTAAAACCGTCATGATCAAGCGTTTTTTTCATAGATGTCGAATACAACACACTAGAGTGACATATTTTATCTTTGAACAGGCGATGATGCTCCGTTTTGTACAGGTTGCAATGAATATTTCACTGACAAACATTGTCATCTTGAATACAATGATCTTAATATACAGTTTCGTGATAGAAATTACCGAGTAAATTTACTTTCAGAACCTTTTGAACCAGTTCCTTCTAAAATATTGATCGACTACTTAAACAAACTTGAAATGTGTCCACATGACACAAATGCCCCCACACTCCATTATCAGTCTACTAATGTACAGCAGGACCGTTTGAAAGGGGCAAAGGAAATTCTATGAGACTTCCCTACCTGTAAGTGGTTGGGGCATAAAAACGACATCCAATTTTTCCTATGCTGACACCATGCTTTTTCCAATATTAAAAAATGCAAATCTCAATTCTATATCCTAAAGTATGCTTAAAATAAAATGAAAATCAAGCAAAACCCTAGATGCACAACTACACATGCTGAAACAATTCTTTAAAATTTCATGACTCTAGGTAAATTCTTATGAGTTATGTAAGACACAAGTTAAAATTGCAAATGTTATATTAAGCCCTAACAATACTGAATTATCCACACGCAAAACCGCAAGGTGCAAATCTTCAAATGCTGATCAACATTCCTGTAAAGTTTGTTTATTCTAGCTCAAGCACTTTAAGAAGTACACATGACATATTATGGAAGGGTTTTTACTAAATCAAGGGTAATTAATCTACACATATTCGAAATAATATACAAGCAAACGCCCAATGTGCTGAACTGCACATGCTTACCAACATTTCTGTAAAGTTTATTGACTCCATGTCAAATTCTTGAAAATATATTTAATGTAATTGGATAGCTTTCTAAACGAAATGAAAGACATCAACAATTGATTTTAAAGCGTGCATTAAATGAATTGAAGGACCTCTCTAATTCACATGAAGATATCAAATATTTAGGTCTATTTCAGCTGTCTTTAAGAGCTTTGTTGTTGAAATAAAGGGGTCAGTCATTAATTTAAATACTTCTCAATAGTTGTTTTATAGCGATCTACAAATTAATCTTGAATTTTATTAGACATTAGATCGAAATCAATTTGAACGCGGTGAAATTCAGTTTTAATTACTAGTATCTTGAATTCATGCTAATTTTTTCACAATTGTACTAAAATATTTAAACATGTCCTAAAATATTTAGACCGCTCTTTAACATATTAAGGGAGGTTTACAAAACAAGTTTTGATTTTGAAAATTCATTTCTAGCACGGTTTAACCACTAATTTAGAGACATCTACAATTAAAATGAAGAGCTCACAATTTAAATTGTAGTCATCTATACTTGCTTTCAAGTGTTCCAATTCTGATGATGGATAATGTAAAAACTAAACAGACATGACGTCACAAGTGCATACTTAAAATATCCTTAGCCTAGTTTAATAAAGCCAAGCCCATACGTTTTGTTTATCAAAAAGGACAACAACGCAGCTGTGGAAAATACAATGTTAGTGTTTTTAAGCGTTGACATGTTTAAAACAATCTTGACCCTAGATATGAAAACGTGCGATTCTTCTTAAGTGCATTTTGTTATTATAATAAGCTAGTGTCAGCTACATAGTCCAATGAAGGAAGTACCAGAGGGTTGAGCTTTCAGAAATAGATAATCTAAAGTAGGCATATGTTTGCGTGGGTAAACAGAAAATATCTCCGTAAAACTCGATTTTTTTTTCACGACAGAAATGTGACAGAAAAGCTCGAAGGTTTCTATAAGCCGCGAAATTTTATACAATTTCGACATAAATCCCGCAGACATTTTATAAACTGATGGTATAATTTCACGCGTCATTAAAATTGATACTACCGACTACCATAGTTTGGCAGAGGGCGGAGCATATTTTTATACGCACAAGCCTAACATATTCTTGAACTTTTGATATCAAAAATTGTTTTGTCTTGCTTTTTGTTGTGGAAGTTTTATGCACATTGCAACTCTCATACAGGATGTGCGCTCGTTTGATAATTTTATATGTGTTAATATTCTCTTGTAAGGGAGAAATAGGTGACGAGCTGCATTGTTCAAAGTATCATTATGAGACTCAAACACTTGAGAGAATTATCAAGGCAGAAATCAGTATCAATGGGTTCAAAAATGATTTTCATCAGATAAAACATGGAATAGAAGCAGAAAAGTCAAATGCCGAAGCCATTTCAAAGTTGGAGGAGAAATTTCAGCAGATGCAACAGTCCTTGCAGACGTTCACGGAAAATGTGAGTTATTTTCTTACATATGAACATAAAAACGTCCTAAATTTATTTTGTTTTTAGAAAAAAGTAAAGCCTGACCGAACCACAGTTTTCTGTAAAATACCTGGAATGGATCCCAACATTAAAGAGGCATGATTTTTGATAGTTAAATTTTAACAAATGTATTTTAGCTCGACTGTGAAACAAGTTCTTGCAAAAAAAATATATGAATAACTTTTGATTCTCGTTACCAAATGCGTTCCAAATGCGAAAACATTGCTGTGGTCCTAGCTTAAAGACTTCAGCTTACCCGTTTATATACTGTAACATATAACATGAACGCTGAAGACAGGCCCATAGGGAAAGTCCACCAAAAATCGAGCCAGAAATCTGACACGCTAGTATTCATTTATGTAGTAAAGTGAGCATATCCACCGATAAAACTATGGATAATCTGTTGATAAGCCGAGTATCAACATATATCAAACTTATTACATTGTACGAACATAAACTACCTAATTGATTCCGATAGGTTTAAAAAGTCAGTACTTTGCCGCCATCTTGCCATGTGATTACAAGATTGACCTTGGCATGGACGATTTAAATAAAAAACCCTGATATTTTTGATGACATGGCATTGCTACTGAGCTCCCACGGCGTTTTAATGCGTTCTTACGGCGTTTTCATTGGCGATTGTATGCGTTCGGATTGCGCTTCTACTGCGTTCCTTACGCGTTCACTGTGCTTCTACTGCGTTCTTTACGCGTTCACTGTGTTTCGCGGCGCTCACACTGCACTGAAATACAGCTCCGTAAAAACGCCGTATACAGATAGAGACGCCGTACAATCTCAGTACAGGCGCCGTGGATAGTCACGGCGTTCATTCGGCGATCCTTCTCATCTGTTTACATCTGAAACCAGGTGGTAGAACTACTTTCAATTTGTATTGTTTTCGAGGTTATTATAGTTAATAGCCGAGGTCGTTCCGATTGAATCATTACCCATTATTTTGGTGTACTTCAGAAAAACGTTTTCAAAACCATCACTTGTGATGATACTTACGATACCGTAAAGCTCGCTTTTAAAATAATTGTTTTATCGAATAAAGCACTTGTAAGAATTAAGTCAATGTATATTATTCTGGTTATATTTCTACTTAAAGAGGTTTTTTTCTGAACAGAAAATGATCGAGGCCGTGAGACCATTCTGTAGAGAAAATCGCTATTTTGTAACTTTTTCTTATTGCCAAAACCGCAAAAGATGTCCCAGGTATATCCAACTTTAATGATATGGTAACGGAACATCAAAAATAAATAAAAAATACTTTGAAAAATACCACAAATGATAGCATTTTAAGGCTTATTTGACCTTTAAAAATTTCACATTGACATTTATCATGACCAGTGACACCTTTCTAATGATATTTCCTATCAATAAATATTAAATTATTTGATAATTAAAGATACCGCAACGTATAATTTTTATTGTTTTATAACATAAATCGGATGCTCAAATATAGTTAGTTTCAAAAAGCATTACATGTATTTGTAAAGATGTTACTGAATTTAACATTTCATGTTGAAAAGGGGGGTTCATGTAATTAGAAATCTATTTTCGATAAAGTCTAAGCCATTTTTTTTCAACAAAAATGATTGCATTAATTTTAACGTTTAATTATATTGTATATAAACATTGCTTGTACATACTTAACATATTCATGGTTATTTGGAAACTGTTTAAGAAGAATAATTATATACATATTAATATTTCACTTAACTGTATGTTACATCCTTAATTACAACATACAGAATCTTTATTGCCTATTGCAAACAATTTTATTTCTTGTGAAAAATTTTAAAATGGCAGAACATGATGGCAAGTTTCCATTTGACAGTTATTGTATTCATTTACACACGGGCGAAATAATGATTGCGAAATACTGCCGAAAAAATTTACATTTTGCAAAAGCTCACTGACCGGTTATACAATGTTATAGTGGCTTCAAGTACTTTCAGTGCTTTGATACTGCCATGCCTACAATTATATTAAAACATTGTAATGTTACAGATGACCGCTATAAAAGAAAAGCATGACTCTTTGACCACAAGGCATGATACGATTAGGCAAGTTTGTATACCAAGCAAGACGTACAGCAATGTTGAGGATTCCGAACAAATGACAAGCAAATGTCAAGCTGGCCTTATGTACGTACATGACAGCAAAAAATGCACCCCAGGTAATCTTATTATGTAGCTATTTTTCGATCATTGGCAGTGTCTCGAATATATTTCTTTAAGACGTCACGAGAACCATTCACAAAATTTATCAATACAGCTCAATGTATAGATTTTACTAGAAACACCTTTACATCAAGCATCAGCTACTAAAACACAATATGAAGCATATTATCTATTTGCATTATGTGCCTTGTTTTGTTTTGTTTTTACAAATATGATAATAACTCTAACGTTCCTTTACGTCTGGTCTTTAATTTCGTCATACGTGAAAAGATTTTTAGATATTTATGGGAGACACAATGAGACGATGTGTTTTATGCAATACTTAGATTTGTAGGTCAAAGTTAAAAAATGTCACACATTTGTTCTTGAAATAAAATTTATTTTAAATAAAAATTAATGTATGGTCGTGTCTGTTAAAAAAAAAAACAAAAAAAAAAAACATTCCTCGTGGATGGATTTAAAAATGTTCTGGCATTAATGGTGTTAGTGTACATTGACATTCGGAACTGCCTCGGCTATTATCTATAATAACCTCGGAAACAATACGGATCGAAAGTAGTTCTACAACGTGGTTTCAGATGTAAACAGCAACAGAGATAATGTAAAACGAATGTATATATTTGACATCTAATGTCTGTTCCGGTACTCATATGCTTGAAAATATGTCGTGACAACAATTTGTAATTTAAATATGCCCACTGATGTTCAATTTTAAACAAATCCGACTGAATGTCAACAGGTTGTTTTTTTGTACTTTCAGTTTCCCCAACCATAATAATAAATATATAAATAATGTATTGTTTGCTTTTGTACCTATGAATTCAGGTATTTTGGTGAACTTATACAACATAATTATATAACTTGTCAACAACTCCCAGCATTAAATTACTATTTGTTTACATGTTTAGTTTCTTAGCGTAGGTTAGACCGAAATACCGCATCCGTTCTGTGTATTCATGTGTTCGAGGCCCTTATCCGAAGATTGAATGAAAGGGCCGAGCAGTTGCGATTGTGTACATTGATACACAATCCAGAGTTTTAGCTAACAGGTCAAAGTCGTATTTAACTTGAAAGGGAATGATTATAAGTACATAGAGATTGTTCCGGTCAACGAACTGTCATTTATAAATTAATTTTAAAACAATTGGACATGAATATCTTGTAACTTTAAGAGGTCGTGTTATGCTGCAGAGCCAGACCAACATCTTAATGGTCAAGGTCATTTTTGGATACCGAAAGTCATGATATAATCGTTAAAGTTTTTTTGTGAAACAAGTAGCGGATATTTCGTGTAAAACGGTGTGTTACACTCAAGACCCAGTTTTGTAACTCAAAGGTCAATGTCCCACTTAGATTTCAATATTTTTAAGGTGCATGATAAGTTGTGTCCGATCAACGATATTGCCATCCATGAATGAATTTTGAAAAAAATGGCATAAATATGTGGCTTAACAAGACAACGTGTATAGCACACGATCCAAATTAGCAGGTCAAAGGTCCAGGTCACACTTGGATCTCAATAGCCATGTTATAATTAACCAGTAAATGTCATGCTCAGTCCATATATTTGTCATCCATTGAACATACATTGTATTTTAACTAAGCATAAATATGCAGTAGTTTAAAACAATATGTGATGAGTGTGAATTATTTTTGTGCCATTTTGTGATGTAAACGATTATTTTAATTATAACGTAATAGAAATGTATTTTTTTGCTTTTGCTACATCAGTTTCATTGTTCATTTTACAGATATCGGCAGTACTTTTCAACTTGAATTTCCCACGGAAACTTACATGGAATGCGCACATGTTGACATGGAGCAAAACTTAAAGTCTGCAACCGTCTGCTTTTGGATGAAAACAGACGACTCAATGAATAACGGCACGCCATTCTCATATGCCAATGAGGATGGCGACAATATGTTTACTCTTACTGATTATAACGGGTGAGAAAAACTGAAAAAGAGAAATATAAAAGATTTGCAATAATTCTAAACGGAATTGATATTAGAAAATTTGACATTGAAAAAGTCTCCATTGATAACTGTTTTCTCTTATTTATGAATCAAGCTTTTTCAGTTTGCATAACCATGTACATGTGTTTTACCAGTTATAAAAACAGATAGTTTGATTATAACATATATTGATATGATAACATAATTTAAATTTTCAGGCAATGCATAAAAGATTACCCTTTTCACCAAAATATAACATATTCCATCATTGTTTAAGGTTTACGTTTTATGTGAATGGTGAAAAAAGAACGACTACGGCCAAAGCCAACACTGGAGATTGGCATCACATCTGCGTCATGTGGGCGTCAAACAGAGGGGAGTGGAGACTCTATATGGATGGCATTCCAATGGACAGTGGTAGAAGATTGTCGAATGGACAAACCATCAAAGGTTATGTTTATATGCTATTTCTTTCTTATTTGTATGAACAACAGCAGTGTATATGACTTTGAAATTTATCGAGTTTCATAAAAGGAAAGTACATGTTGTCTTTCCAATACGTTTGTAACGTCACTTTTCATTGGATCATCATATGGTTTATATTTTTATATGGGGTTAACGCACGTTTTTTCGTGTTATAACGTCTGCAGAGTCCCGAGGAACAGTTGGTGCCCGAGCGAGCCCGGTAGGGCAAGGGCTCCAACAGTTCCGAGGGACTCTCCAGACTTTATAACACGAAATAAACGTGCGTTGACGCTATTATAGCATAAAATTTTAAAAAAGAATCATGATGTATATTTAATACAAAACACATACATTAAATCCTTGAGCTTGGACGGTATATTTATCCAATTCTACATGTTTTACGTATGCGTTTTATTTTTCCGGGACCAACTATGCTCAGAACCGTTCAAAAATTCGATTTTTATTAATTGATTTAAAAAGATTATCATTGGAGTTTTATTAACTCTAGAAAAAAAAACACATTAAAATGTCACTTCCCAAGACAAAACATGACTATCAGAAATTCTTAGAAAGATTTCAGATTGACGGTAGTAATAAAGATCAGTGACATCAGAATCGTTTTTTTTTTTTTCAAATTAAAAGAACATCAGGCACTAAACATTAGATTCTATTCTCTCAAAGAAATATAAATAGCTTTTATCAATATTAACATCAATAAAACAACATTTTCTCATATACATTTATTGTTTACATTGCATTGACAACTGCCCGTTTCTTAGAAAGGGCGACAACCAAGATTAGCGGCGATGTCTATACGCCGTATTTCCGCATAGTTACTTGAATGCAATCTCCACTCAGTGATCTCCCCTTAATTCTTCGGCGTAGATCTCTGCCATCAAGGTCCCAATATATCAGAATTTCTGATATATTATATTTTTTCAAAAATTGTTTTATTTAGAATCTACTGCTTTTATCTAGCAGTTAAGTTTTTTCTCATTGATTAAACAATGTTTATGGATAAATAAATAAATAATATGAATATTTAGAAATAATTTTAAAAATATGAGAATATTTTACTGTATACCGGGACAATATTTTGATATTTTATATTTTTTAGCTTTTGAATTTATTTTTCGTTATTTTGTATACTTTTGATAATTTTTTGATAAACTATATCGATCGTAGGCACTAAAAGTTAAAAATAAAAAAGAAAGAGGAAAAAAACGTTAGATTTTCTTTGTAACGGTCGATATTTACATTTGAATTTCGACGTTACGTCATATGGGACTTTCATCATCATGTGACGTCTTTGAAGGCAGTGATAACAATTCTGCCAAGGGAGGTAATCACTGTAAGGAGTTTGACTTGAATGCTGCTCGCTGTTATGCGATTAAGACCCTCGAATCCATAATTTCAATATATAGCACTTTGGCAAACAGGCAAATTGTCATTTTTTTGTTTAAGTGGCCTTCTATGTATTGCGCATAGGTATAACCGGGCTAAAACTATGTTAACACATGGTTTTGTTCCCGTTATAACATGGGCAAAAGAGGGAAAAATAGCCGATTTTATGCTATAATTTTCAATACTGCACGTTTGTTATGTCGCTTTTCATTGGATAATCGTGACGTTTTTTATACACGGCTACTGTCGATATATACAGAAATCTCTTTATTCCTCAAAAAATGATGCTTGCTGTACTATAAATTCGTTTACAATATTTCTGACAGGTTATATGGCTGTATATAAACGGTTGTTTGCAATATAACGCTCAAACAACCGTTTATATAGGGCCATATAACCTGTCAAAAAATCGTTTTCACTAATAATATACATGGCTGTTGTTAATTTATAAAGAAATCTAACTTAAATGGCTAAAATAATGCATGTTGTATTATAAATTCGTTATAAATATTTAAACCCTATATAAACGGTTGTTTGGAAATATAACAAACCGTTTATATAGGCCATATAACCAGTCAAAAATCTTTACAATTATAATAATATATTTCCTCTATAAGGCATGTTTAAAGAATGATTTCTTTCAAAGGTGGCGGACAGTTCATCATTGGTCAAGAACAGGATATTATCGGAGGAGGATTTGCCAGTGCCGAATCTTTCATTGGTCAAATTTCACAGCTAAACATGTGGAGTAGAAGTCTGTCTCTAAGAGATATTGAATCACTGCGACAAAACTGTTCATCACTAATGGGTGACGTCATAGCCTGGAAGGATGTTTCCGTGAAGTCAAAACGTTTCGTCACTGTGACCACTGTAGAGTTTTGTAAAGGTAAAAGATACAAGTTTAGGATTTTCAAAAAAAATTTGAAATCGCCATTCAGCCAGGCATTCAGTGTTTTTTTTTCTTTTCAAATAGAATGCTTCTTGAGTAATAGAGCAAATGTTAATTCCTTTAAGAGAATACTCAGAATACTGTTTACCCCGCCGGAGTCTACTCACTGATTTCGAGGTACATGGATAAAGTATTTAAATTCTAAAAAAAATGGCGGATGCTCTGCCCCATAGACGCCCTTTTGAGATCTTTTGGCGTCCATTTTGTTATCACGCTCCGTTCTGGCTGACTTAGGACAGGCCATGTACATAAGAGTAGAATGGTGAAATCTTGTTAAATGTACTGTAGATCTAGTTCTAAATACATATCGCTATCCAGAAACAGCGACAATTAATGACGGAAATGCATTCCAATGTCATGTAGTTATAAAACATTAAGGGATTGTTGTATATTGTAAACATATGTTTGATCTTAATAATATCTTATACTGTAATGCGCATGTCCATTATCTTCCCGCCACTTATATACTTGGGATATTGAGTATCATTAAACGATGGAACTAGTAACACGTGTCTGGTGTTATATATTACAAGTGCACGCTCTGTGTACATATTAATAAATATACCCATAATACAACATGGTGTCAGAAGTAAACGGATTATAATTTTTACAGTAAAACGCTTAATAATTGTATGTTTATAACGGAGTTATAAGAAATATGGAAAATAATCATCAAACAGAATCCGCGTATGGACTGGGATTCGAAGGACTTAAACAGTGCGGTTTAAGAGATTCAAAGAACATTCAGAATTTCATGTTAAAAGGGCCGTTGGCAAGTAAAACGGAAGAAATTCAATGCAACTATTTTGATGTTATGGGTCGGTGAAAAGGGCCGACAAACATGGGACTTTTCAAAAACGATCAGAGAAAGAAAACTTAATTCATATTATGATAAATTCGAAGAATATTGCAAACCAAAAAGTAACATTATATACAACAGATATCTTTTTAAATCAAGAGCACACAGGGGAAAACGAACCGTTTTGAACAATTCGTTACAGAACTTAAAACGCTAATCAAAGATTGTGATTATCCTGTGGGCATGCAGCAAGATCTTATTCGCGACCATATTGTTTTTTGGAGTAAGATCTAGCAAAGTCAGAGAAAAACTGATTGTGGAAGGCTCAAGATCTAACACTTGAAAATGCATTGATGTTGCTCATACGTACGAATTGAGTCAGTCTCAGGCACAAGCAATCGCTAGCGGATCTACGACATCTCAAACAGTCTGTTGATGCGATAAATCGACATTGGAGACGAGGCAACGGAAGAAATGCACACCAGAGAGACCGGAAGATGCCACCTCATCAGCAACAACAACCATTACGACAACAACGATTTGAAGATTATAGAAAATGTGACAGATGTGGAAATAAACATTTCAATTCTAGTGAATGTCCAGCACAGGGACAAACATGTTTCAAATGTGGACGATTAAATCATTTTTCAAAACAATGTAAATTTAAATCTGTGCACACGAGTTTACATTATGAAGGTGACACTGTGGATTACTTGTGTGAATCTGACGGCGAGAATGGCCAAGAATTCTTTGTTCACACGGGTAAATTCTTTTTTCATCTCTCTCCTGATCAAAGTTTTGTAAATGTTTTTGATTTGCACACAAGATAAGTTTACCAATATTAATTGCAAAATTGATACAGGTTCAACAAATAAATTGCCTCCCAAATCACATATTTAAGCAACTGAAAATAAAAACACCCTTTGGAAGCCTCCAAAGCAAGGTTAACTTCGTACACAGGTGACCGATTACCAGTGCTTGGAAAATTATGGTTACACTGTAAATACAATAACAAATCAGTGTGTTCCGAATTTTATGTAGTTGAGACTTCTGCTACCCCGTTGTTAAGCCCTCAAAACATCTATAGATTTAGATCTGTTAAGATTAACGTATTCGGTCAATAAGATTGAGTCTATTGACGCATCTGACCTTAGTAAGGACACTGTACTTAGAGAGTACAAAGAATTGTTTCATGGGATAGGGTTTATTCCTGGAACATGTTCATTGCATTTGAAGGAAAATGCTGTACAAGTTGTTTGTCCACCTAGAAAAGTACCTTTTGGACTCAGAGATAAGCTTAAAAAAGAGCTCGACTCAATGGAGTCAAAACAAATTATTTTGTAAGGTTACAGAAACCTGCAAACTGGGTAAATTCACTAGTATGTGTTGAAAAACCTTCAACCGGTAAGCTTAGAATCTGTCTTGACCCCAAAAGCATTGAATGAAAATATTACAAAGGCCGTATTATCCATTACGTATTATTGACGACATTACGTCAAAATTGCATGGCGCTAAATACTTCAGTGTACTAGACGCAACCAAAGGTTACTGGTCAATTTAATTAGACGACTACTCATCGTCACTAACGACATTTAACACGGTATTTGGACGGTACAAATATTTAAGACTTCCTAATGGGCATAAGAAGTTCTCAAGACATTTTTCCAACGGAAAATTGACGAGACATTTTGAAGGTTTACAGGGTGTGACGTCAATAAAATTGACGACTTATTAGTGTTTTGGAAGCACACGCACAGAACATGACAGAAACCTTAAGAACGTACTCGACCGAGCAAAGGCAGCCGGTTTACGATTTAACCCTGACAAACTGAAAATAGGTCTAACAGAGGTTAAATATTTCGGTCACGTGATCAGTGCTGATGGACTGAAACCTGACCCTGAGAAAAATTAGCGCAATTATCGAAATGAAAAATCCTGCAAATCGTGCTGAGCTTGAAACCCTGCTGAGTATGATTACATACTTGACAAAATTCTCACAAAATCTCTCGGAGATAACTAGCCCGATGCGATAGTTATTACTCAATGACGTAGAGTTCAGATGGGATTCAGCCCAATCTGACGCTTTTGACAAGGTTAAACACGTGATTACACAAGCACCTGTCCTCAGTTACTATGAGTCATCGAAAGCCTGATAGATTACAATTGGATGCTTCGTCCAAAGGGTCTTGGGTGTTTGTTGATTACAAAATGGTAAACCAATTGCATACGCTTCAAAAACACTGACATTGACCGAGACAGGATACGCACAAATAGAAAAAGATGCTGGCAATATTATTTGGATGCACTAGATTTAAGCATTATATTTATGGAAGGCGCACGGTTGTTGAATCTGACTGTAAACCGATAGTATCTATTATGAGAAAACCACTTTATAGTGCCCCGCCTAGGTTACAACGAATGTTATTACAACTTCAAGATTTTGACCTCTATGTTATTCACTGTAGAGGTAAAGATATTCCGCTTGGAAGATGCTCTCAGCCGGAATTACGTAACTGACACTTTTCCTAATCTGATTGACGGATTAGAAACACATGTACACACTGTACTGAAATCACTACCGATAAGTGATTTAAAATTGCAGGAAATTCAAACAGCAACGCAAAATGATGCTCAGTTACAAACGCTTATTAGTGTCATTTCTAACGGATGGCCTGACGACAGACGAAATTGCCCTACGAAGGTATCAGAATACTGGAATCATAGAGACGAATTGGCTTTTGAAGACAATATTGTGTTTAAGGGTCAAAAAAATTGTAATACCAAAATCATTAAGACAGGACATGACTAACGCAGTACATGTGGGTCATTTTGGTGTAGAAAAACGACAAGACGGGCTAGGGATATAATGTTTTGGCCATCAATGTCAAAACAAATTACAGATTATGTACTTAAGTGCCAGATTTGTTGTAAATATAGAGACTCAAATAAAAAAGAACCATTACATCCTCATGATATACCCCAAAGACCATGGCATTATTTATCATGTGATTTATTTACGTGGAATGGTCAAGATTTTATGGTTCTTGTTGACGCTTACAGTCGATATTTTGAGTTCGACCTATTGACAAGCACTTCTAGTACTTGTATTTTAAGAAAAATTAAGGTACATCTCAGCAGATTTTGGTATCTGTGAGAAGTTAAAAAAACTGACAATGGGGACATGCTTTACTAGCGAACAATTTCAGAACTTCCTTAAACAATGGAACATTAAACACGAAACTTCAAGTCCCACACATGCAAGTTCAAATGGACTTAGTGAAGTATATGTTAAAACTGCAAAAAACGCATTCTTCAGAAAGCTAAGGATGATAATAAAGATCCTTATTTTGCCCCTTTTAGAATATAGGAATACACCACTAAAATGTGGATGGTCACCCGCTCAACTTTTAATGGGCAGACGCCTCAAGTCCAGCGCTTCTCCCAACAACTAACAATCAGCTTCTGCCAAAAACAGTAAATCATTGTGAAGCAAGAAAGAAAATGGAAGAATTACAATTTATTAGCAAGAATCATTACGATAAAAATGCGCACAAAATGAAACCTTTAAAAATCGGTGAATCTGTCAGAATTCGAAAAGATAAGTACTGGGAACCGTTGAACCAGCCAAGGTTATAACACAGCATAATGAACACTCATTACACGTGCAGACCCCTGACGGTGCTGTTTATCGTAGAAATCGCCGTTTCCACAACAAAGCTCCTGAATTATCTGACCTGTAAAAACAAACACAGCAACCATCTAAAGTCGATGAACACTAGGAATCTATTTTAAGTGAACAAACAAGTCAAAATACCCCTACAGAGTCCCTATCTCTTGCAAATGTGCCAGGTAAATCGAAACCATTCACAATCACTAGGTCAGGTAGAGAGGTGAAACCGAATAAGCTTTACTGTGGAAAAGATTGGACAAAGTGATAACATTTGTATAATTGTTGAAATAGCCATTAGTAAAACTGTAAATCAGTGACATTTAGAAAGGATTAAAAACTTTGCTTGTATATATTAATAATACATGTATATTTCAATGTCATAATTAAAAGATCATTAATTATATTTGATATACTTAAATAATTGTTTTTTAAAATATTAGTTTGAAATATACTAAATGTGCTTATATTTTTAAACAAGGGGAATGTTGTATATTGTAAACATATGTTTCATCTTAATAATATCTTATACTGTAATGCGCATGTCCATTATCTTCCCGCCACTTATATACTTGGGATATTGAGTATCATTAAACGATAGAACTAGTAACACGTGTCTGTGTTATATATTACAAGTGCACGCTCTGTGTACATATTAATAAATATACCCATAATACAACAGGGATATTTGTTGAAAACGGCTCACAGAAATCCTTAACTTTTTTTCGAAATCACTCTGGCTGAATGTATTTGTACAGGATTGATCAAAATATTCTTGGTCCGATGTACTTCCGGTAGTTACAGAACCCAACTAATGGTCTTATTTTTCAAATTAATCGCCCTCTACATCAATGCACTTTGCCCACCTGTGCTCCAACTTGTTTAACCCTTCAAAATAGAACTCTCTATTTAGGTCCTTGAAGAACTCCTTGATCGCCTCCATGACACCTTCATTGCTCCAAAAACGTCTACCACGAAGCTCGATTTTCAGTTTCGGAAAAAGGTAGAAGTCGAAGGGGTCAAGTCCGGAGAATATGGGGGATGGGGAAGAATTGATGGGCCCATGTTTCATTCTGAGTTACGATCCGGTAGATAAAATCAGGTTCATCCTCGTAGCGATATTTTGAAATGTCAAGCCTGGTCCGTTTCTGGTCGTCAGTCAACTTTCTTGGGGCCAATCTAATACCCACTTCCCTAGCAATGATTCGCATGTCTTGCCTTCTATCGCACATGACCAGACCTCATCATCTCCAATGCTCTCCCAGCCTTTTTCAAATTCAGCAGCCTATTTTTTTCACAATGCTGTAGGAAGGGGACTCCTTCCCAAGTGTATCCATGAAGTCTTCATTGATTTCCATGGGGGACATCCCTTACTTACATTTTTGACGGCTCTGATTTCAACTTTCTCCATTTGGTCTAAATGACACACCCCTCTCCTGATCAAAATGTGCTTTTTGTTACTTTATCTGTGTAAAACCGCGTGTAAATTGGTCAGTAATCTTCAATAAGATATCGGTATTGGCTATAAGTTGTTTATGTCAGTGTAGTGACTTTTAGTATATTGGACCGATAACTTTTTGATCATACCCCGTATGACTGACTGATCTTATCAATGTTGCGATAATATAATCGGAAACATTATAAATACACGCACTTTAAAAGCTTCAAATATTCAAACTTGCCGCTGTTATAAAAAACAAAACCAATAAAAACAACCCACACAAAAACAAGATTGCATTTGTGGAAAATGCTATGCCACCGCATTAATACAACACTAGATAGTAGTGTAGGAACATGTTTATTTATCTCATCTGAGCTAGCTCAGGGTGAGCTTTAAGGATCGTTGAATGTCCGTCGTCCGTCGTCGGTCCACACTTATACGTTAACACTCTAGCGGTCACATTTTTGCCTCAATCATAATCAAACACTGTCAGGATGCTTGTCTAGGTAATAGCTTGGATGAGTTCGAACATCGGTCATCTCGGATAAAAAAAACCAAGTCACAGGAGCTATAAATAGAAAACCTTGTTAAAACTCTAGTGGTCACATTTTTGCCTCAACCATCATCAAACATTGTCAGGATGCTTGTCTAGGTAATAGCTCAGATAAGATTAAACATGGGTCATCTCAGATGAAAAACTATGCCACTGAAGAAAGTAGAAAAACCTTGTTAACAATCTAGTGGTCACGTTTTTGACTCAATCATCATCAAACTTGGTCAGAATGCATTTCTAGGTAATTGCTCGGATAAGTTCGAACATGGGTCATCTCTGAATTGAAAAACTTGGTCACAGGAGCTAAAAAAGAAAAACCTCGTTAATATTCTTGTGGTCACAGTTTTGTCTCAATTATCATAAAACTTTGTCAGGATACTTTTCAAGGTAATTGCTCAGATGAGTTCGAACATTGGTCGTCTCGGATGAAAAACTAGGTCACAGAAGCTAAAAAAAAAGAAAAACCTTGTTAACACTGTAGTGGTCACATTTCATACTCAATTGTCATCAAACTTGGTCAAAATGTTTGTCTAGGTAATTGTTTGGATGAGTTTGAACAAGGGGCATCTCGGCTGAAAAACTAGGTCACAGGAGCTAAAAATAGAAACATCTTGTTAATTTGTCTGAAGTATGTTTTGATGATTTCTATGTCAAGTTCGAATATGTGTCACCTGGGGTCAAAAACTAGGTCACAATACTCAAATATGGATAATTCTTATTAACACTCTAGTGGTCACATTTTTGACTCACCTGTCATGAAACTTGGTCAGAATTCTTTTCTAGGTAATTGTTCGGATGAGTACTTTATTGAGACTTGATGGTATACGGTATTTTTTCATATATGTAAAAATTATTTGAAAACCTTTTTTATCGTTGTAATATATGTCCCATTCGTGTTTAAATATTAAAACAGTTTTGATAGAGTGTTTTCAGGGGCGTATCACGTTGGGTGGGGGGGAGGATCTGGCCCCATAGCGTCTGTGAATTGAAGATTGTCATAATGCATAGATTCCTGACCTATCTAATTCTTATTATCAGATTAGTGGTTAAATCTATTGTCATTCAAAGAAAAGATCAGAATAGGAATATATCAATGCAGTTGCGTCTAGTGAATTTGGTGGTGAGGGTCATATTTCATACAGCCTAAATTTTATGACTACACAGTAAGACACTTTGTCAAAATCTAGGTCAGCTGATATCAAAGTTCATTTTACATCTTAATATGTGCACATGGTTCAAATTTCATAGCTGTACATCAAAGGACAAGAAAGTATGTCACATCATCAAAATCTATGTCACCTGATATCAAAATTCAATTTTACAACTAAAACTGTGCAAATGGTCAAAATTTCATTGCTGTACATCAAAGAACAAGAAAGTAGGTCACTGTCCCCTTGGGCAAGGCAAAATTTTGACCCAAGGTATTAATTCAAAACAATCTTGATACAGATCCACAAACAACATTTCATTTCTCCAATTCAGAAAACATCTGTACATTGTGAAAATCAATGATCCCCGGAACAGGGCAAATTTTGACCACAGGGCTATAATTTGAACAATCTTGCTAGAGGTTCACTACACAATATTTCATGCAAAATATCTACATATAGCATTTGTCCATTGCGAGAAGAATTTTTTTAAAGTTTTTACTATATACATATAAGGAAAACCTATGACCTCCGGTGCGGGGCTGATTTTGACACTAGAGGCAAAATTTGAACAACTTTGGTAGAGTACCTATAGATGATATCACATACCAAATATCAAACCTCTAAGCCTTGTACATATAGTAAAAATCAATGACCCCCAGGGCTATAAATTTGAACGATGTCTACCAGAAAATGCCTTACGCAAAATATCTAAGCTCTAGGCATTTTGGGTCTTTGCAAGAAGATTTTTTTTATTTATTTTTATAATTCCTTTTGGTTGCCATAGCAACCAGATTTCTGCATAAAATGCAATTCTTTTAATAACTTTGGGAGGCCTTCACCCAAGGATCAATCCTGCCAAGTTTGGTTGAAATTGGACTAGTGGTTTTTCAGAAGAAGATTTTTTAAGTTCACTATATAATCTATAGAACACACACACACGCACGCACACACGCGCAAACTCTTAGGTGAATCGCTAAACAACAAAAATCTGAAGCTTAGTTTTTTTTAATATAAATTCAATGAAAATTACAATATCATAATGATATTTTCTTAGATATTGTATATGTATATTTTGATTGTTTTTAAATATAATGATATTTCCTACTCTTCTTTTTTTCTAAATTTTCCGAAAACTTATTATGCTTAATTAATTCTTTTGGAAAAGATCCCGGATTGTATTCGTACGTATAACTTATGATCAACAATCTTTTTGAATATTGTAATTGTGTTTAAACTTTAAAAAATTAAGATGTATGTTAATTTTTGACGTATTATTGTATCCTGGATTCTGTGGCCCTGAGATTTAAAATCAATAAAAATCAAAAATTTAGATGCAAAGAGACTGAGATAGAGGGATTAGTCTATACTCCTATATTTGGGTACAAACAGCCATCATTTTTTCCCTTCTATTTGTAGGATATAAACACTTCAGACTGAGCAAAGTGCATTGCTTTAATGTAAAAAAAAGCAATAACTGGAAATAAATGGAAATTGTTATTTTTTCCTCACACAAATGCCCTACTTTTGAATGCATGGATACATTCCCTGTGTCAATACTTATACCATGTTATTTATTTATTTCTGTAATCGGTTTTCATACAAAACAGATTACTTATAACAAGATCATAATTCAATTTGAAATCTGTAAATTACAACTTGTAATAAAGCTATAGGTGGCATATTTTGTACCAAGTTTAAAATTATTTCCTTTTGGTAGATGAAGGCTATCTTTACTACAATCTAAACCATATTACGAACTCTAATTTATTTTTATTTGTATCAGCTAGCAGAGTTTTTATTATAAACGAATTCTTGCAGAATTACTGCAAGAATTCGTTTAACTTCATCCCAGCCAGTTTATACCACTGCATGCATTGAAAGTCAGAACTTCTTCTTTAAAATTACAGCCTGTCCTCAACTAGATGATATAGACAACGGCATAGTTACATACACCGATATTACACCGGGATCAGAGGCTAGTTATAGCTGTAATAGAGGACATGACCTTACAGGCCGCAGAACAAGATTGTGTATTGTTACCGGGGAATGGGAGGGCAATGATCCAGTATGTGCAAGTATGTTTACCAATTGTTATTGTATATTATAAACACTGTAACTTGTTTTCTTGTAATTGTTTTCCAAAGGTGCAATGAGTGAAAATATGGCAGACGTTACACGTATGGATTTCTTCTGGAATAACAGTGATAAAAACACATTATCAGTCCTGAAAGAAGGCACAATCTGTAAGAAAAAAAAAACACTTAACAAAATAACAGTTCTTATTTTCATGTATAGATTAATAAACAATATATTTAGAAAACCTGTATAATGCATTGTGAAAGAAAAAATAATTCTAAAATCTACAATGCTATATAATGCTTCCTTTGTTATGAAACTTAGCGGTACAATGCGGACACCCAGGAGGGATTTTAAACGGCTGGACCGAAGGTGATAGATATACGTATGGTAATCGTGTTCGTTACAGGTGTGAACGAGGATATGTATTGGTTGGTCGTTCCACAAGATATTGCGGGGAATTTGGTTTCTGGGAAGGCGACACACCTATCTGTGAGGTAACTATTAAACCCACTGTTCCCCTTCTCTTCTATTGTTTTTATTTGGTCACACGGACTTAATCACGGTGCGTAATCGTTTCAGGCTGATTTGGAATATTTCCCCATTCCTGAAACTGATTTGGATTTATAGCGCCGAATTGATTATGATAAAATGGTAAACTCTAGCATAAAATTGCCAAGAAAAAGTCATTATTGTCTTTGATTTTTCAGGTAATTCATGATCATTTTATAGAAATAAATCATTCCGCGATAATTTAGTGGTTTAGTTAAGATGTTTTGTCCAGTTGACAACCGTGTAAATTTTTTAAGGGCAGCCGATTGATTCATATTAAAAAACAAAGCAACGGGCTGATTGTAGGCTAAAAGCTCAGTGCAACTCTAAATCAATTTTTAACAAAGGCCTTTCACTAAAATCTATCAATTTGTATATACATATTAAAATACATAAAGTAAAAAATCTTCTTCATAGTTGCAAATGCCAGTATGCAAAGTCAAAGCAATATACGTTTTTATATGAAACTATCGACAGATTTATAGTTTTGCCAAAGTGTTGTTTAATTGAGAGGGATTGGGATATACCTATAAAGTAGCGATAGTAGATTTGTTTCCGGGGATAGTCTGTCAACCTCCTTATTATTTCCTTTTAATCGGGACATATGAAATAACTATGCTGGAAGCTTAGCTTGCAATTCAGCATAATTTGATGCAGAAGTTGACTCTTCAAAAACAAAATCTTCTGCATGCATAACATATAAGATAATTAATGGTTAATAATTGGCAAGCTTGGAATAGGAAATGTGTCTGAGTTTAAGGAACGCATTTTCATCTACCAGTTACGTCATTCAATATATATATATTTAAATATAATAAAATATATAAATATTAATATATATATATATATTATATATAATATAGTATAATATATATATATATATATATTATATATATATATATATATATATATATAATATTATAAATATATATTATATATATACATGTATATATAATCATAATCCATATCAAAAAATAATGAAAACTAAAATACCCTTCGCCAGTAAATGGGTGATTTATTGATGCATGTGCCTGTGGTGCATTAATTGATCAATGTTCAAATAATAATCGTCCTCCATTTGTGACTTATGTATATGTTAGTTCAAAATTGACAAAAATGTCTGTCTTTTTCATTGGTTGGCAAATGATGTTAAACACTAAATACTTGGTAATTCTTATGAATTATCAAGTTCAAACAATCTCTGGAACACAATATACCGTTTGCAATGAAAAACATGAATATTCATGTGTATCCATATGATTGTGACAAACATAAGTCTTTACCGTATATGTAACATAGAATGTGCTTTTCTTGGAAAAAACAATGTTTCTTACCATATGAAAAACGTATGTTATGCATGTGTATCCATATGAAGAACATATGAATAACATGTGTCTGCACTATATGTAAAACATATGGGATACCTTTCTTGGAGACACTATATATGTTTCTACCATGTGAAAACATGTGTTTCACATACGTTTAACATGAGGTGCATTTTTACCTGTGTATAAGAATGTTCTTTAAAAAGATACTCGGACGAAGTTAACCTTGTTTTAATATTTTGCTTCACTTATAAGTCAGTTGTGCAAAAAAAGATGTTTAATTCATTGATGCAGGACCTCTAAGAAGTTAGGTGCATACACTTTTATATCCCCGGGCATGTATTAATTGAACCGTCCGTCAGTCTGTGCGTACGAGGTTAACCTAAAACAGCAAGTTGGATTTTTCTCAAAACCTACCTATACCAATGGTTTTATACTTTACACACTTACTAATCAACGCAAAGTACGTGATCTGGGCAAGTTACATAACTATGACTTTCATTTTTACCAAGAAGTTGGTCTTTTCAGCACTTAAAAAATGAATATTTGGTTAATTCAACGGCAAGTTGGATTTATCTTAAGTTCTATCTATACTAATGGCTTCATAATTACCACACTTATTTATCAATTCAAAGTTCATAATATTGCTAAGTTATATAACTGTGCCATCCATTTTCCCAGTTATTAAATAGGGCCTTGTATGGTTAACCTTTTCCGGGAAGTTGGATTTATATTAAATATCTCTTAATTACTTCATTTATTTAATGATATCTTTCATATTTGGTAGGCGGATACTTAAAATGGTCCTCAAATTTATTTTTGGAGTAAGGGGTCTCTAAGATCAAAGTCAATGTCACTAGTGTAAAAAATTTTAAACATTTTTGCTCATGCAGCCTTTATTTTTTTTATAGTTGATGCCATTCATGTAATATATAAAATGCTAGGCGATGTATTTAGGGTCACCCAACTTTTTTACAGTGGTATTAACCTTATTCTATTGACAGGTGTCTCTTATATTTTTAGGAACAAAAATATGGGGTCTTTTTCTTTGCATTGAATTAGGGTTCAGTTGGGTCAAGGCCATCAGTGCATACAATAGATTTGTAAACTTTTGCTCATACAACTTTTATCTATGGACAGATGACTTTCATATTTGGTAGGAAAATAATTTGCATGGTATTCTTCTTTTTGATTCAGGTAGGGGTCAGTGGGTCAAAGTCACTTGTGCTTGAAAATCGAATTTTACACTATCGCCCATATAGCCTTTATTTCTTAACAAATGTATTTCATATTTGGTAGTAAGATAACTTGCATGGTATTCTTCCTTTGGATAGAGTTAGGGGTCAGTTGGGTCCAGGTCACCTGTGCTTAAAAATCGATTTTTACACGTTTGTCTATACAGCCTTTATTTATTGACAAGATGTATTTCATATTTGGTAGGAAGACAACTTACATGAAACTCTTCCTTTTAATTGAGGTAGAATCAGTGTGTCAAGGTCAAGGATGCCAAAAATAGATTTCTTGACTTAGTAGGATGATAACATGATTTTCTTCCTTTGGATTGAGTTAGGAATTTAGGGGTCAGTTGGGTCAATGTCATCCGTGCTAAAAATACATTTTTCACTCCTGCCCATATAGCCTTTATTTATTGACAGATGTCTTTCATATCTGGTTGGAAAATAAATTGCATGTTATTATTCTTTTCGATTGAATTAGGAGTCAGTGTGTCAAGGTCAAAAACACCAATGATAGATTTATACATATTTACTAAAATAGTCTTTATTTTTTTAACTGATATTTTTCATATTCGAAAAGATGATAATTTGTATCCTTCAATTGAGTTAGGGTTCGGTCAATCATGGTCACCAGTGCTTAAAATAGATCTTTACACTTTTGCCCACAAAGCGTTTATTTATTGACAGATGTCCATATTTGATATGAAGATATCTAGCATAGTTTTTGGATTGAGCAAGTGGTCAGTGGGCCATAGTCAGGGTTGCCAAAAATAGATTTTTATACATTGGCTTATACAGCCTTTATTTATAGCCAGAAGCTTTTCATATTTGGAAGGAACATACCTTGGATAGTCCACTGCTGGGACTTGTAATGACAACAGTTTTTTACACTTTTTTAAACGGCCCTTGTATTTTTTACCAGTGCCTCATATTTACAAGGAACATGCCTAATACCCCGGTCACATATTCACGGAATACGCCCACGGAAGAGCCACGGATTAATTTCGGCATCCTCCGTAGCTACCCGTACTGGTCAGTAGCTCTCCGTATTGTAACCGTAATCAATCGTAGTAGTCCTTGTATATCCGTAGCGATCCTTGACAATTTTTGAACATGCACAAAAATTTGCTACGGAAAAATCAACCGTAGCGAATCCCTACTAGTCCGTATTAATCCGTTCTAAAACGTACTGGTCCGTACGAAAACCGTAATAGTCCGTACTGATTCGTAGTCCACCAACTTGTCAAGGATTTCCACGGTTTGGTACGGAGAACTATGTATTTGTACGGTTACCCTACGTATAAGCTACGGTTTTAATACGGATTATAACGGCATTGTCACGGAAAGCCACGATCTTTATACGTTGTACTACGGAGAGGCAAGGATTAGCACGGTCTTCTATACGGTTTATTGCGTTGCAACACGAAACGGTACGGAATGGTTCGGCCCACCACTGTTTAGTACGGATTAATTAAGTATCAGGTACTTTCTCAAGGGTATAAATACTACCTTCTTGTTAAAAACAGACATTATATATTTGCAGGAACATATAATAAATGATAATTGCCATTTACTGGCTGCAACTTTATATTGAAATGGCTCAGAATTCGGAGGCAGTGGTCGAGCTGCTTGATGACATGCATAAAAGTAAATTTATATTAATATCGTACTACAATTCATAAGAAATAGAAAAACATTTAATGTTACATATGTTACAAACATTAGATCGTGAAAATGGAGTAAATATGTACATGGAACGAAGTGTCTCATTAGCCTCGGACACTGGCCATTGAGTGATAATAAGATTAATTTACAAGCTTTTTACATATTTTAAGATGAACAGCAAATCTTAAAATTAAAAGAGAAGCCGTATTGATCAACAGTTTTCATTTATGATTACTAGTTTATATCTAATCAGGTAAGGGAAGACAGACGAGATGGTGGACTAGAGATAGGCTTTTACGAAGAGAATGAGGCTCCCATGGCCGAACTTGTTGAGGATCCAGCGTTCTTCAAGAAATTCACTTTAATTGGACCTGATGTGTCTCGGGGTTCGGACGCGATTAGGCTGTATCCTCTCCGCCAAAATCATTGAACGCTGCAATTCGTTTTCTTTGTGTTCTATTCTTTTGACGCATTTTGAAAATGAGCAAGCAAGAGGTTGTGGACGGATGCATTAGGTCCGTATAGATCCGTGGCAATTCGTTCTTCTCCGTATCAATACGTTCTTCTCCTTAGGTGGTCCTGTAAGTTCGGATGAAGTTTAGGGCTGCTGGGTTCAATAAAGTTTACTATTTTTCAACTTCATTACAAGACATCAATGTCTTGCCAACTTGCCAAATTATGTTTTGCAATTACAAACGCCATGACTCTGCCAAGTTATATAACTTTTTGTTTATTTTTTTTTTTGGCAATTTTCCGTCCTCAACTGAGTGAATGGGTAAGCATTTTTGAAATATTGTTACTGACAAGATTCTGAGCCGGGGGGGGGGGGGGGGGGGGTTTGTGTTTAAACTCGTTCTTGTTCGAAAATAGTATGGATTTATCCTTAAAAATTTCATAGTCATAAAATTTGATTAGCCAGCAGAGCATCAGTACTAAGGGTGTAATACTTAAGTACCAGTACCAGTATTTGGCAAATTATGCAGTACCAGTACTAGATTTTAGCTCGGTACTGCAGTACCAGTACTTTTTTGGTGAAGTAATTAAGTAGCAGTACTATACTTTTATATATTCATTAAAATTTGAATAAATAACATTTTTACAACTTTATAGTTTTAACATACTTTTTACAAACAATAATTTACAACATATATTCATGTCATATTTCATTGTTTAGTAACCAGTCAACTGTAATACAATGCAATCATCTTTCATTAAAAACACAACAGTCTTTTGTTGCCTTTCATACCTTCACACCTCTGTTCAATTTATACCAAAGTAAATAACATTTTTTACATGGTGCTAACAATATCACTTGAAATAGAATTATTTAGAGTGGAAGCAATTAATAAGTGTTTATTTTGCTTTGGTGCAAATTATCTATAGATTTGAAAACTTACTTTTTCACAAAAATAAAATAATGTAATTTACAGCTTTATTTTTTGGGAAAAATTGATGCTTTTTTTATCAAAACCAAAAGATCTTCTAGTAATACAGTAGCAGTACCACTTTTTAAGACAGTAATGCAGGACCAGTACCAGTAGCAGCAAAATCTTTGTAAGAGTAATTCAGTATCAGTACCAGTACTTGCAAAATCGTTGCAGTACATTCTGCAGTACCAGCACCAGGACCAGTAATGCATTCTTTTAGCCAGGCATACATAGTGCTTTATCTGCACTTATATTCATCCATGAACGTGTATTAATCCCAGCACGTACATATATTCATTAATGTATGTATATGCATCCCTTTAGGTGTTTTAATTCCTGCACATACGTGTATTCATCCCTGTAGGTGTATTAATCCCTGCACATACGTGTATTCATCTCTGTTGGTGTATTTATCCCTGCACATACGTGTATTCATCCCTGTAGGTGTATTGATCCCTGCACATACGTGTATTCATCCCTGTTGGTGTATTTATCCCTGCACATACGTGTATTCATCCCTGTAGGTGTATTAATCCCTGCATATACGTGTTTTCATCTCCGTAGGTCTATTAATCCCTGCACATACGTGTATTCATCCCTGTAGGTGTATTGATCCCTGAACATACGTGTATTCATCTCTGTTGGTGTATTGATCCCTGCACATACGTGTAATCACAACTGTAGGTGTATTAATCCCTGCAGGTACGTGTATTCATCCACGGATGTGTGTTCATTCCTGTACGTGTATTTATCCCTACGTACTTTTATTCATCCATGTACGTATATTCATCCCTGTACGTGTATTTATCCATGTAAATGTATTAATCCCTGCAATTATATGTAGTAATCCCTGTAGTCATCCCTGTACTTGAATCAATTCCTGTATGTACCTTTATTCATCCATGAACGTAAATTTATCCCTGCAATTACTTGAATTCATACATGTACGCATATTAATCCCTGCAATTACATGTACATGTATTCATCCATGCACGTGTATTCATCTCTGTACGTGTATTCATCCCTTTATGTGTATTAATCCCTGCAATTTCGTATAATCATCTCTGTACGTGTATTCATACATGTTTTCATCCCTTTATGTGAATTAATCCCTGCAATTTTGTGTAATCGTCCCAGTACGTGTTTTCATCCATGTACGTGTACTCACCACAGTACGTGTATTCATCACTGTATTTGTTTTAATTCCTGCACGCGTACTTGTTCCTGTTTCAGCTGACCATAAGAATACATTATATCTTTATGAAACGTTTCTAATCTGTCACATAGTATTTCGGCATTTTTTTTCACTATGATAGGAAATAAACTTACAAATATGAAATTGAAATAAAATGAGGTGTTGGTTACCACTGTTTCAAGATATCTACACTTGAAAATGACCCGAAAGAGCTAAAAACTCAAATGCAGGAGCAGATAACTCAAAAAGTAACGATTCTTATTTGTTTTTTCACAAATGTGTTTCAATTATAAGTTTTCTTAAACATGCAAAGAAAATCACTTATACGTGTTTCAATTTCAAACTATAACTTTCAATAATCCAAGGAAAATTACCCATACTTATTTTAATTTTACGTTCAGCTATAATTTTCTTAATTACTATGATTTTTTTAATCATGCTAGGAAATTACCTGTACTTGTTTGAATTTTACGTTTTGGTTTATGTCAAAAATATATGACATTGAAGAGTTGATAGCCTTGTGAATTTATTTTGGTCTTTGAAACATTATCAAATGTTACGTTACTGTGATAATTGATTTTTTTAGATTTTCACATAATCTGCATTTTTTATATACACAATCCATTTCTCCATGAAAAAAAATAAGTAAAGAATAATAAAGAAATAAAATGTTAGTGATCAGTTAGAAATGTTGTTTACTGTATATTATTCGTGAAGATATTTATTTATTCAAGTTTTCAATAACATAATAATATGTATATATTTTATGTAACTTTGCTATTACAATATCATTACTTTTCAGCAGCAAGATTTCTACGAAGATCTATATTAACATCCAAAACACTGTCAGGTTCAAATGAGTATAACATAGTGTGCATATAGTTTTCATTATCCATATTGAACAGATGTGGCAGGAATGTATTTCAACATCTTTCATTCTCGGACATATCGCTGGTAACGACGGAAATAACTTCAAAGCCTGTTTTGGTAGAAATAAAAAACCCTCTACTTGTATTTGACCAATAAACTCGTCACGAGAAATATACGAGTATTTAACAAATTTACATATACCAGTACAGTGCAACTACATTTTATTGTGGATAAAGTGTGCGTTGTTTTTTTAACGATCAATAAAATTGTTAAAGCATGTTTAATTAATGACTGATTTTCTACCAAAAAAAAAAAAAAAAATCATAGCGTATGCAGTGCTATGTAAAAACATATATGTATGTATATATATGGTCTCGTAATATATCGGGGTTGGTGACTATCTCTTTATAAGCTAACAACAGTGGTTATACCAAAACGCTAGTTAATCATACATTTTTTTTTTGTTTGGTCAACACTATAAAAAACATTTGACGACTTTTTCAGCTTTTTCTGAAGGAGGAAGACCCAATGTCCTTTCGTTCAATATTAAAATTGCATTTTTTTTTCGACCTTTCCGTCAGTTTTCGGATGAGTTATTAATCTGAAACGCGATAGTCGATAGTACGATGGTGAAAACACGAAATCACGAAACTACGATGGTGAAAACGCGATAGTGCGATGATGAAAACGCGATAGTACGATGATGAAAACGCGATAGTACGATGATGAAAACACGACAGTACGATGGTGAAAACGCGATAGTACGATGATGAAAACACGACAGTACGATGATGAAAACGCGAGAGTACGATGGTGAAAACGCGATAGTACGATGATGAAAACGCGAAATCACGAAACTACGATGGTGAAAACGCGAAATCACGAAACTACGATGGTGAAAACGCGACAGTACGATGGTGAAAACACGAAAGTTTATCGCATTTTCATTATCGTAGTATCGTACTGTCGCGTTTTCATCATCGTACTATCGCGTTTTCATCATCGTAATTTGGCGTTTTCACCATCGTAGTTTCGTGATTTCGCGTTTTCACCATCGTACTATCGACTTTCGCGTTTCAGATCAACACATTCATAGGCGATGGCCCTAACGGCATTCCGTAGGCATCGGCAGAAGATTTGACTGGGTGCGATATTTCTTATATTAAATAACTGGCCGGGATAGCATAAGTTTGTTTTCTAAGATTTAAAATCAAACTTGTCTGTTTATAACGAGATCTTGTGGTAGCAAGTGATGTCTTGTAATGCCTAGAATATAACACGTACGTGGTGCCAAATTTCCAAAAGAACTGGATGACATATGTTCATATGGCGACTTTCCAGCTTTTTCACGGGGAGGAAGACACCAGTCCTTTCGTTCATTCAATCGCAATTTTTCGGCCTTTTCCTTCAGTCTTGCCTTTTCCGTCAGTCTTCCATATGAATCAGATACATTTATATTCAAAAGAAGGCAGCGGTAACAATTGCATGGTGTTCAATGGGCTACATTTGCTTTTAAAGACTTTAAAATAGACTTGAAATGTCTAAGCTGGACGCGAAAGCATTGTGATTAGTCCAGTTTTCCAGGAAAACTGCAATAGTTATACATTAAAGTTATAAAACGTTACCGTGAAACAGTCAATTGGTATAAGACTTACACCTTTTAAGGGAATGCTTCCGATGAAAAAAAAGTCAAATTTGCCGGCTTTTAATTTTATTACAAGTTTTGTCTTCCCGAGTTACCAAAGCTATGACGCAACAAACCACCATGATGTACAACGGCAAGTCTGCATGCGTTTCTCAGTTCGGGATTACGTATAAGGCGGCACGACTCGTGTCGAATGGGGTTAGCTTCAAATAGCAAAACTGAAGTTAAGGGGAGCGAACAGAGTAGGAAGGGACGACGAGGAAGGGGGTTAGGGAGGGCGAGTCCCTAGTGCGCAGTAACCGCTTGTAAGGCAGGCCGCTTGACACCAACAGCCTCTCCTTTAATAGTCACAGGTAACAGTACGTAGGTGTACATTGCCCATTGTAGTGGCCTACTTTCGGTTCAAAATTCTAATCTTAAGCTTATACTCTTATGAAAATTGCACGGAGGTAAATTATTACCGCTTTGTGCTTCAAAAATAAACCTTTGAAGTCATGACTGGTGGTGTGTCCGGGGTTCGCACTCGTTAGCGAAAGCTGCTTTGGTGAATTAAAGGGCGGATGGACCCCCCATTAAACATAGACTACTGGGAACTAGCATAGCATTTTTTCTCTTCACCCTTCAAGGAATAGCTTTAAAACTTGAACGTTTTAAGTGACTATCACTCCCACTTCTAGACAAGAAGACTACTCCGTCATGGGTTGCCCACTTTTTGACTTGCAATTTCAGTTTATTTCTGTATCACACGAGTGAACGTCTTACGGACAGCTGTTTAAAAAATACTGAAAAGGTACGTTTTTTATGTAAATCTGTAACTTTTAAAGTAATAATTTTGTTTTACATTCTTCGATAACAAGAATATGAAGGATATCAATTGAAAACAAAAACAGATTGAGTATCACATTTATAAAATAAAATACATTGTTTTATTAGGAAATGAGTTTTATCAACAAAATATGCACATTGTGTAAAAAAAGAGCAGCTCTAAAAATTTAACATAATTTAACATAAAACACACATTTTAGCACTTTAGACAAAGAGCAAGCATTTATATTATACAAGCACTAATTGAAAGATAATTGCTTATTTTTATTAATGTGAAACTAACAGACATTGGCAGACAAATGACCATAAAACTTCAATTCATTTAAATATTTCTTTAGGTCAAATTGATAATATTGCAAACCCAATTCGAATATTTCAATAAACTAGTACTTAAATATCTAAATTTTGTACATAATAGCAAAAGAAGCAAAATAAAAACAATAGCCAAGGGTAAAAAAAATCATTAAATTGTTCATTCCATTTTTCTTCATAGTATTGTTATTCTATTTCTTATATACCATTTAACTTAGCAAATAAACATCAAATCATGATGTCTCATAAGACTGCATGTTTGTAACGCCGATTTTCATTGGATAACCGTGACGTTTAGATTTATATAAACCACTGCTATCAATTTATAAAAATCTCTTACTGTTTTCTGTAAGAGAAGATGCTTGTTGTATAATAAAGATTTGTTGTAATTATTTCTGACAAGTTATATGGCCCTATATAAATAGGTGTCTGCATTATCACCATCGCCTAGGGGCTCTGTTTATATTGCCAAGCAACCATTTATATAGGGCCATTTAATCTGTCAAAAATCTTTATAACTAATAATATACAAGGCTGCTGTCAATTTATGAAAAAATCTTACTTTTATCTCTTAGAAAAGGTGCTTACTGTATTATTAATTTCTTATAATTATTTCTGACAGGTTATATGGCCGTATATAATCAGTTGTCTGCAATATAACCCTCACCTAGAGGCTCTGGTTATATTTCCAAAAAAACATTTATATTGGGCCTTATAACATGTTGAAAATCTTAACAACTAATAGTATACTACATGTATTGCATTGTACAAGTCCAGCTGTGCAAAAATTTCATAAAGAAGGTCATATGTAAAATCTTGCAATATTTCATAATAATGCAAAGAAAATTTATATCTATTTTCACTGTCATAGTTTCACAGAACTGAAAGATATCTGCATAGCAAACAATACATTACTATCTTTAAAGCAACAACAAGTTATAGGTAAGTCATATGCAATCTTTCCAGTTTGTCTGTTGAATGAACATACAAAAGTGTCTGTTGAATGGACACTCAAAAGTTGTTAACAACCTTGGTGAGACCGTAACACACAGCAGTGAGGGGCAACTGGCAACTCAAGAACTTGGCACAATATAAAGAAAATAGAACACTTTAATATAGAAGTATAAACTTAACGGCAATATCCGGAAAATGTAACATAATCTCAGGTTTAAATGTACTCAATTCGCCCAATAGAATGAAAGTATTGTTTTGACACAAAATATTCTAAATGTATCTATATAAAAACAACTTATAAATATGAAACGTACATAAACATACATATAAACATATCACACTATTAGAATTTAATAACAAAATGTGTTTTTTGTACTCTTTATATAAATGCTAGTAAATCAGTACAAGTAAACAGTAATATTTGAAATTATTTCTTCATACAATTACAACCCCCTACCTTCCTGATCAATTTACCATTGCTCTTCATAAAAATCAAGCATTTTTGTGCAGACTGACAAACAGGTGGCTATGATTTAGATTTTTCAAAATCCCAAATGTATCCCTTCTCAGACAATTACCAACTACTTTATTTTTACTGATTTTTATTTAACAGTACAATTACCCTATCTTGATTTTTCTCACTATGGAAATTACATTTATTAAAACTGGAAGTAGAGAAATATCCAAGGTGACAGGTCACAGAATAAACAGGATGGAACATGGCACCATTATTGAAAATAAAAGCCCTGTTAAACTATGGACGTTCAATCGACAAAGGTTCAGAAAATTGGTAAATATAAATTAAAAAAGAATGTTGTGAGGGACAGCATGTCAATTTAGTTTAGCTATGTACACTTGCCATTAAGCTATCATAAAATTATAATACAATGTATGAAACAAAGTTTCAAAACAATGCTACCTGTAAAGAGCCAGGTCAGTCTGCACATTCATGCCTCACCAGTATCTTCAGTTGACCAACAAACTTCCAAATTTTTATCCCAATATCCCTAGAAGTGATAGTGGTTTGATTCAAAATAAAATTGAAAAGTTGGACAAGTCTAAGTTCAGGAAATATCAGTAGGGTAAGTTATTATTTCTTTTTTAACAGTGTCACATCATGACTTTGATTTGATCAACAAAAATTGTAACAATATGACAATAGTATAAATGTAGTGAGGAATAATATCCAAAGTCTTTTTTTGCACACGCCCACAACAGGCCCACCACACGCCCACTATACCACCTTAAACTGCTGGCCCAATCACAGTGCTTGTTCTGATCATACCCATGTATGTAGCTCTGACTAAGAACAATACGCCAATCACAAACGCACCTGCATTAAAAAGACAAATAGTTATGATACCTATAAGTATGAAAGCCTACAAATACACAAAGACAGACTGAATCACATATGATGGCCATGCATACCAATACCTTAACAGACCATCTAAAAGTCAATTTGTTTTCAATCATATAAAAAATGCCTTTTTTCCACAAGAGTCAACATATTTAGTTTATATACAGTCTAACTTGCCCATGCAAACACATTTATTAAAAGACTTTTGTCTTATGCGACCACTTTATATTCCTCCTGATCATTTTCTCTCTATATCTTTAATGTATTTAGCGACTTTTGCTCAACGCGACCAACGACCGCTAATTAGTCAGCTAATTGAGATATATCTTTTCATTACACAACCACTTTTACCTGTTAAGTGTTTGTGTTTTAGAGAACCCCGCGTCCTCATGTCCAATTAGTGTCAACAATCAAAATACAATATATAAATGTGTGAAAACCCTTTATTTCCCAAACCGTTTTTAGCTTATGCAAAGTACGTATTACATCTATTATTCAATTATATCGATAGAACAATGAAAAGCTACGCCCCTACTGAGATGGTGTATACGATTCGCTGTTGATATTTAGACTGCATTAAATTGACCTTGAACTTGATCAGCAATTAAATTAATTGTAACAGTAATATGTAGTTTGTTTATTTCAAATGAAAATGCACAACAGAAAAAATCTTCACTTATCAGGGTTTTCTTGTTGGAGAGAAGGAAATACAACAGAGAAGTTTAAAAATTCTGGAAAAATGTCAAACATGAAAACTGTTCAGCAACCAATTTTGGTGTTTCCTTTGAGCAGTCGCTTAATACACGCTTGACTGTATTTTTTTTTCACATAAAATTGTATGTTTATAACGTCCCTGTGGCTTGGATAATTTTTATGTTTATGTGATTTATAAACACAGCCCCTGTATAATAACAAAGTATTTTTCATTTTTCCTCAAAAAAAGGAACTATGATATAAACAGTATCATAAATTCATTATAATGACTTTTTGCCTGGTTATATGACCATACTGTAATGGTTGTTTGCAATATAATCTTATAACAATTTACACAGTAATTAACTGAGGTTTATAACCTGACATATATAATCCATCATATATAATTATAACTAATAATATGATTTGTTTCTGGTCATATATGTTTTGATTATAATGTATATTTTCTTACACTAATAATGAATAACTAAAATAAGATATTTCTGTAAAATAAGAAAGTAAGGAAGAAAATAACTTATGGCTATTATGTAGTTATATGTTTTATACTGAAAGATTTTGCATCAATCGACAATTTCTATTACCATAACAAGGCAAAATTAATGGTGTGATTTCAACTTCATTGCTAATAATATAACTGTATCGCTAGAATTTGGTGATTTTAGTAATTTGAAAAAATAAAAAAAAAATCGACTTAAGCAATTATCTATGTATACTCACCAACCCATACAGTATAAATTCCACCGGAGTCTGCCGCCAACTCATATGTACCAACCTATAATAAACATGTAAAATATAAATGTTTTAGATTTGTCCCTTTAGTCTTTACAATTAAACAAACAATTAAGGTCATGCCAGGTGCACGATAAACAGATGAACAAACCTGCACTGATGGACCATAATGTGAACAAACATCAATGTTCTTTAGTTATAAAACACACACACACACACATATATATATATAATGATATTAGTTTGATTTTAATAAAAACTGGAAGCTTATCTGAATCAGTCTTCTTGGAACTAAGTAAAGCTGTTGAAATATGGACATGACCCAAGTAGGGTTCAAACCCATGCTCCCTAGGTTGAGAGGCAGACACTCTTACCTCTAGGCCACAATCCCATGTTATTTGGACCATGGAAGCTATTTTTCTGAACAAGCATTAATTCCAGTTCAAACTGTGTATAGCAATTCAGATTAATGATTGAAGGTTGGAGGTTCTAGTCAGGTGCTCCTTCATGCCTTTAATTACCCACAAAGGGGTACCGGAGGTCTTCCTCCATAAAAAAAGCTGAAAATTTCACCATATGACGTTTAACAGCATTACAGTGACTTAAAATCAACATATTAAATTGAATCTAACAGGTATTACTGACCTGCAATTAAGATCAAAACTGTTAGAATCCATGGTAAAAAGGTAAGAATCTGTGGTTTCCTCTATTTATCAACCCTACAAGAAACCACTTAAATAATCCACTCACCGTTACACCGATACCAGCTCCTAGAAACACCAGCCCTAAAATTGCATATATTATACATCTGGTCCTGATGAAACTTGACTCCACTGCAGAACTGTTCATGAAAAAAAACGAAAGTAAAAATTTAATGGAATTGGCAAATTATCAAAATAATAGCAATAACATTAAAAACCTGTAAAATTGATTGTGATTGGACAATCCTTATGTTTCAATATGATCTATTTTATACAAATGCAGCAACTTTATGAAATTATGTGACACAGCCCCTTAATACTATCTAGTGGCATACTTTCTAAAGATTTCCCCGATTCCTGATCCTTTTATGTTATATGGAAACATGCCTCTTTGATAATATCTTGAGTCACTTGTTGTTCAAAACAGAATGAGACCTGCCCCTTAAATAACATTATGCGACTTATCCTTTGAAAAATAATTGAGACAAAAAGTATAATTCAGTCACACCCTCTTATAATATCAAAGACAAACAAACAAAATTAAAAAAAATTAATTAAAATTTTTAAGTGCACCCTTTGTTTAAAATCTTATTTGGAGCTGATCAGTGATTCAGAAGACACACTAGTCTAGTAATACAAGGGTCAAAGATTAAAACCCTGACCCACCACATCACTACACAATACTATCAGTCTTTGGAATGAGACCTTAAATCCTGTGGTTACATACATATTGTATATTGTTGCTCTACACATACATGTAAAAGAACCAGGGCCTCCTCTTAAAATGAAAGTGGCAACTGCTGTTTTCATGCGCTACCTCGAAAAAAATGTTAAAAAACAACAAACAAATGAAATAGTCAGCATCTTGCATTTGCAATTTTTCAATAAATAAAAAGAGAAGTCAGTAGGACGGCATGTTTGCCATTTCTCAGTGCTTGAGAGTACAAAAGACAGTCTGGATAATGTAGAAATTTCTAAGTTCAAAAAGGGCCATAATTCTGTAAATTTCCATGCTAAAGTTAGAGACTCCCTATTAGGGCCTAAAATAAAGTATATGTGAAGTTTCAACCAATGCCCTTTAGTAGTTTTGGAGATTCCAACATGCACGCAAAACTTAACAAATGTTTGATGGCAAAGCAAACTCAAGTACAATAGCACTCCATATTCTCCAAATAGTCAATCTAAAATAGAAATAGAATTTAACCCTTTCCCCCATGAACATATTGTGAAAAATGGCCATTTTCACTGAAAAGCCTCCTCTAACATGTTCAAACTGCTATGAAACTATGAAAAATGCTTTAATACTAATCAAACTTGGCACAAATGTTGACTGGACCATTGCCTTTGTAACGACATGCTTAGTCTTGAATTTCCTGTTACCATGGCAAAGAGGGGACATCTCAAAATTGCCAAAAATCACTATTTTGTCTCGATTTTTTCCATCAAAATTTATTTCAAAGTGCTGCAACTTCTGAAGGGATTGAGATAGAGTCAAAGGCTTTTCAGCGTTGGTTACACATTACCTTATGATCAATCTGGGGTCATTTTAAGCCTCTCACAAGTCCAAAATTTTCTTGGCTATGAGGTGTACTACGCCCCCTTTTAAACCCCCTAAACAGAAGGGGGCACATCCCCCTTCTGGCAACCCCCTGATGTATCTTTTGGATGGGGGCGGCGTGGAAAAAGTGCTCACTTTTTTAAGCAATATTTCTCAAATAAAAACATGTGTTTGGGGCCTAAATAGGACATTTTTTCACTATTTCAGGCCTAAACTAGAAATGTGTTCATAGGACACGGGTGCCCCCACCGCGCCACTGTTCTGTCAATCTTTTTACTAAGTCAAGGGAAATAACTCTACAAATACTGGATAAATCCACAAGCGAAACCCTAGGTGCAAATCTAAATATGCTGAGCAACTATGTCAAATCCTTTTTGAGTAACTTGGGACACAAGTTGAAAATTTTCTAAGTGAAGGGCAATAACTCTAAAAATACTAAATAAATCCAGACAAAAATACCTGGTGCACAACTGCACATGCTGATCAATTTTCCTGTAAAGTTACATGACTCTAGGTCAAATACTTTGAGTTATGTGCGACACATGTTAAAATTTGCAAAATTTTACTAAGTCAAGGGCAATAACTCTGAAAATACTAAAAATATCCACACGAATATACCCAGGTGCACAACTACACATGCTGATCAACATACTTGTAAAGTTTCATGACTTTAGGTCAAATACTTTTTGAGTTACGTGCGACACAAGTTGAAAATTGAAAAATTTTACTAAGTCAAGGGCAATAACTCTGAAAATACTAAAAATATCCAGACAAAATACCCAGGTGCACAACTACAAATGCTGATCAACATTTATGTAAAGTTTCATGACTCTAGGTCAAATACTTTTTGAGTTACATGCGACACAAATTGAAAATTGCAAAATTTTACTAAGTCAAGGGCAATAACTCTGAAAATACTAAAAATATCCAGACGAAAATACCCAGGTGCACAACTACACATGCTGATCAACATTCCTGTAAAGTTTCATGACTTTAGGTCAAATACTTTTTGAGTTACGTGTGACACAAAAGTGGACGGACGGAAGGACTGACGGATGGACGGACAAATGTAAATCTAAATGCCTGCCACTAACGTGGGGGCACAAAAAGGGGGGGGGGGGGGGGGTCGCAAAAGGCATTGTTTCGCGTATATGAGGTAAAGGGTTAAACAATTTTTCTACTTACACTCTGTTACAGTTTGAACATCTCGCCAAAGCTGTTCTTGTAACTGCAAACTGGAACACATGAAAAAATAAAAAAAGTACATCATTTTTGTTTGTTTTATTAACTACCATAATTATATTCAATAATATTATGATAATATTTGCATAATTCATGTATCTATTGTACCGGTAAGTGACAATGATAGAAAAAATGTGTGAATGTTATAAGCAATGCATTATTGTATATAAAATAAAAGCCATTTTAATGAAAAACAATGATTAATAATATTTGCAGCACAACCTGAAAATCAGACCCCCTGTTCACAAAAGAAGTGTTTTAAAATACTATATAAACAATCTGAGAGAGAATGCATTAGACAAAGTATTATGTGACCAATTGTTTAAACTGGGGGGCAAAGGCTAATCATTTTTTGTTCAAGTATGTTTAACATTGTACTCCAATTGATGCGTGTTTTAACGTGTGCAGTCTGATCAGGATCTCCACTGTTTGCTTTTATCAGTCAATGAATTTAAGATTTTGAATTTACTAGCCCGAATTCCAGTTTTAAATTTATTCTACTATATATTTAGCTTAATATTCTTAGATTTCACTGAATTGGACCTGCACTGGTCGCATATGAAACATGTATCACTGGAGAAAAGGGTTGATGTTTACTTTAAAGTTCTGGAGAGCTTGCAAAGTAATTACACTATTATAACATACCTTAATAACATTTATAAATGGTTAGTAATTACACTACTATAATAAACCTTAATAACATTATCAATAGTTTAACAGCATAACTTACCAAGAATATTTCATTACAATAAACACACTGCACTCTGTTTGTGTTTGGGGCTCTCACAGTTGCACTGGTTATGACCCCTGGGGCCCCAAGGGTAATGATTCTCTTGCTAGAAAATAATCAATAATATTGACATGTTCATGAGAAACAAGATTGCATTTGAGAAAAATGCTATGCCACCACATTGATACAACACTAAATAGTAGTGTAGGAACAGATTTTTTTTGTTTCTATACAATTTTGAAGATTGTCATAATGCATAGATCCCTGACCAATCTTATTCTTATTATCAGATTAGTGGTTAAATCTGTTGTTAACTCAATAAAAGATCAGAGTAGGAATATATCAATGCACTCTAGTCTAGTGAATTTGGTGGTGAAGGTCATATTTCACACAGCCTAAATTTCATGACTACATCAAAGGACAACACAGTAAGACAGTTAAAGACACTTTGTCAAAATCTAGGTCAGCTGAAATCAAAGTTCACTTTACATCTTAATGATTTAATCTGTGCACATGGTTCAAATTTCATAGCTGTACATCAAACGACAAGAAAGAAGGTCACATCATCAAAATCTAGGTCACCTGATATCAAAGTTTCAATTTTACAACTAAAACTGTGCACATGGTCAAAATTTCATTGCTGTACATCAAAGGACAAGAAAGTAGGTCACTGTCCCATTGGGCAAGGCAAAATTTTGGACCCAAGGGTTTAATTCAAAACAATCTTGATACAGTCCACCAAACAACATTTCAAGTCAAATATCTAAGCTGTAGCTTATGTACATAATGAAAATCAATGACACCCGGGGCAAAACCAATTATGACCCAAGGGCTATAATTTGAACAATCTGGGTAAAGGTTCACTTTGCAAAGTCTCATGCCATATATTTAACCTCTAGCCTTTGTCAATTCAGAGAAGAAGATTTTTCAATTCAGAGAAGAAGATTTTTCAAGTCTTTACTTTATACATATAAGGAAAACTATCGCCTCTGGGGCAGGGCAATCTTAACACTAGGGGCATAATTAAAACAACTTTAGTACAGGACCCATAGATGATATTATATACCAACTATCAAAGCTCTAAGCCTTGTTCCTTCAGACAAGAAGGTTTTTTTTAATTTTTTGATATATGTACATAGTGAAAATCAATGACCCCTGGGGGGTGGGGCCAATTTTGACCCCAGGGCTATAATTTGTACAATCTTGCTAGAGGTTCACTACATTATGTTTCATGCAAAAAATCTTAACTCTAGTCTTTGTAAATTTAGAGAAGATGTTTTTTTTTAAGTTTTTACTATATACATATAAGGAAAACCTATGGCCCCTTGGGCGGGGCTAATTTTGACACTAGAGGCAAAATTTGAACAACTTTGGTAGCGTACCTAAAGATGATATCATTTAAAATATTAAACCTCTAAGCCTTGTACCTTCAGACAATAAGATTTTTTGATTTTTTACTATATGTATACCGGTATATTGAAAATCAATGACCCCCGGGGTGGGGCAATTTTGACCCCAGGGCTCTTATTTGAACAATCTTGCTAGAAGTTTACTTCAAAATGTTTCATGCAAATATCTAACCTCTAGCATTTGTAAATTGCTAGAAGAAATTTTTTTAAAGTTTTTACTATAAGTTTTTACTATATACATATAAGGAAAACCAATGACCCCCGGGGCGGGCCGATTTTGACCCCAGGGCTATATTTGAACAATCTGGGTAGAGGTCTACCAGACAATGCCTTATGCAAAATATCTAAGCTCTAGGCCTTTTGGGTCTTTACAAGAAGGTATTTTAAGTTTTTACTATATGTACATAAAGTGAAAATCAATGACCCCCGGGGCGGGGCCAATTTTGACCCCAGGGCTATAATTTGAACAATCTTGGTAAGGGTCTACCAGACAATGCCTTATGCAAAATATCTAAGCTCTAGGCCTTTTGGGTCTTTACAAGAAGGTATTTTAAGTTTTTACTATATCTACATATAGTGAAAATTAATGACCCCCGGGGCGGCGCAGATTTTGACCCCAGGGCTATAATTTGAACAATCTTGGTAGAGGTCTACCAGACAATGCCTTATGCAAAATATCTAAGCTCTAGGCCTTTTGGGTATTTCCAAGAAGATTTTTTAAATTTAGTCTTATAATTCCTTTTGGTTGCCATGGCAACCAGATTTCCGCATGGAATGAAATTCTTTGAACAACTTTGGAAGCCCTTCACCCAAGGATCAATCCTGCCAAGTTTGGTTGAAATTGGACGAGTGGTTTTTCACAAGAAGATTTTTTAAGTTCACTATATAATCTATATAACACACACACACACACAAACAAACACACACAGTGACACACACACACACAGGTGAATCGCTATATGCCACCGCATCGCAGATGCTGCGGTGGCATAAAAATGATCATACCATTTTGTTTCAATAGCCTTTATATATTTTATAAAATACTTATGTTAGATAAACAAGAGCTATCGGTAGGACAGCAACGCTCGACTATTCTTAGTGCTTGATAGTAAAAAAAATGCTTGATACAGTTACCTCCTCCTGTTTACAGGTTGGGGTCATGATGGTGAACAAGTGTGCAAAGTTTCAAAGCCATATGTCTATGAACTTTGAAAATATTTGAACTATTACAAAAACTTTAACGTAAATTCTAAGTCGAAAAAGGGGCATAATTCTGTCAAAATGCTTGATAGAGTTACCTCCTCCTGTCTACAGGTTGGGATCATGATGGTGAACAAGTGTGCAAAGTTTCAAAGCCATATGTCAATGGACTTTGAAAATATTTTAACTATTACAAAAACTTTAACGTAAATTCTAAGTAAAAAAAGGGGCATAATTCTGTCAAAATGCTTGATAGAGTTACCTCCTCCTGTCTACAGGTTGAGGTCATGATGGTGAACAAGTGTGCAAAGTTTCAAAGCCATATGTCAATGGACTTTGAAAATATATGAACTATTACAAAAACTTTAACATAAGTGGTTAAACCGACGCCGACGCTCGGGTGACTGCAATAGCTCTTCTTATTCTTATCGAATAGTCGAGCTAAAAATATATTATTTTAGTTTGCTTTTCTGATGACTTGTACTACTGTTGCTGTTGCCTACAACCTTACACAATCAACCTGTGCAATACAACCTGACATAATTGACTTGTGTGATATAAACTTACACAATCAATGTGACACAATAAACTTACACAATCAACCTGTGCAATACAACCTGACACAATTGACTTGTGTGATATAAACTTACACAATCAATGTGACACAATAAACATACACAATCAACCTGTGCAATACAACCTGACACAATTGACTTGTGTGATATAAACTTACACAATCAATGTGACACAATAAACTTACACAATCAACCTGTGCAATACAACCTGACACAATTGACTTGTGTGATATAAACTAACACAATCAATGTGACACAATAAACTTACGCAATCAACTTGTGTGATACAATTGACACAATCAATTTGTGTGATATAAATTTACACAATCAACCTGTGCAGCACAATCTTACACAATTAACTTGTGCAATATAACCTGACACAACCAGCGCATTACAACTTGACAAAATCAACTTGTGCAATACATCCTTACACAATCAACTTGTGTGATTTAAACTTACACAATCAACCTGTACTAAAGACAACCTGACACAATCAACTTGTGCAATATAACCTGACACGATCAACTTGTGCAATATAACCTGACACAATTAACCTGTGCTATATAACCTGTCACAATCAACCTGTGCTATATAACCTGACACAATCAACTTGTGCAATATAACCTGACACAATTAACCTGTGCTATATAACCTGACACAATTAACCTGTGCTATATAACCTGACACAATCAACTTGTGCAATATAATCTGACACAATCAACTTGTGCAATATAACCTGACACAATCAACTTGTGCAAAAACAACCTGACACAATTAACCTGTGCTATACAAGCTGTCACAATCAACCTGTGCTATGTAACCTGACACAATCAACTTGTGCAATATAACCTGACACAATTAACCTGTGCTATATAACCTGACACAATCAACTTGTGCTATATAACCTGACACAATCAACCTGTGCAATATAACCTGACACAATCAACCTGTGCAATATAACCTGACACAATCAACTTGTGCTATATAACATGACTCAATCAACTTGTGCAATATAACCTGACACAATCAACCTGTGCAATATAACCTGACACAATCAACTTGTGCTATATAACATGACTCAATCAACATGTGCTATATAAACTCATACAATCAACTTGTGCTATTTAACCTGACACAATCAACCTATGCTATACAACCTGACACAATCAACCTGTGCTGTATAACCTGACACATTTTACAATCGACTTGTGCACTAAACTGCATTTAAGTAAATGCTTCAATGTGTTTTAGCTTGCTTAAACAGTGAACTTCCTCATAATTTAATGTGAGTTTTTCATAGAATTTTATGATCACTATAATATTGTTCCC